CTGCGGTGAAGTTTGTGCCTTGATCGGTTAAAATAGACTTTGGGATGCCGAAGACAGAAATAAAGTGCACTAGACACTCACATGTCTTTTCTGTAGTCGTATTAGCGATAGCGTAAGCGAGGGAATATTTGGTGAGGTCGTCCTGCAACGTAACAATAAATTTGAGTTTATTAAGTCCAGCTTCTGGAAGTGGTCCTACAAGCTCGAGGCTGATTCGTTCAAATGGTTTGGTGGAAGTGGTAGTTATTTGCATTGGTGATTTATTAACTTGTCTTAAGGCTTTATTACTTTGGCATTGGGAGCAATTCTTCACGTATGTTTCGATGTCTGTCCGCATATTTTTCCAGAAATACCTCTCTTTTACTCGATTATACATTCGCATAGATCCTAAATGTCCGGCAATTGGAATGTCGTGGTTTTCGCGGAGTATTCTGGGTATCTCGGAGGGTGTAGGGTAAATTATAGTATTGTGATAAATATGAACTGATATTTGAGTATTGTTAAAGATATAGCAGAACATGTTGTATATTTTTGTCCAGATGTGTTTGTCGAAAGGATTTTGGAATTCAGTTATGGCTATATTTAGGTTGGAATCAGTGGAATTGCGTAATATATCGCATCGAAGATTTATTAGGCTTTTATAAATGTCTTCATAAGAACTGTTATGAAAGTTGTATACTTTGGTGAATAGGAAATATATTGTTTTTCTCTTGTGATCGAATAAGATGAAGGAATAAAGAGTTTTTTCCCTATCTAAGAGTTCTTTAGAGTTTTCGAGGTTACTTAGAATTTCTTCTACGTGAGGGTTGGAGTCATCGAGATCGATGGAAGTAGGTATGACAATGATTTCGCAGTTAGTTTTCAGGATGCTTTCGTTGTGTTCTAGGATGTTAGCGTTACTATTAAAGTCTTTGTTGCTCATTGTTTTTAGAAATTTGCTATAATTATCGTCACGAGAAGGATTTGGTATAGGATCTGGGGATTTGTTAGGTGTGGTCGGTGTAGGAGGATCGTCGATACCTGGTAGTGAATCATCGTTTTCCAAGAGGTCTACAGAAGGTAGTTTATCGTCGAGGTCTAAGGAATCAGGGGGTAGTTGGATGTCGTCAAGAGTAAGAGGGCTGAATTGAGGTGTGGAGTTATCTTCATTTTGATTAAAATTGGATGGAACAGGATCAGAGTCTGATAGTTGAACTGGGTTTACAGGATATCGGGATAAGGCGTCAGCAGCGGTTTTAAGTTTTCCTTTCTGATATTCGATCTCATACCCGTATTCCATTAGTTTTAGGCGCCATCTTTGTAACTTGCTACTAGGATCTTTATGATTAAACAACCACTTTAGTGGTCTATGGTCAGTAATGATCTTGAATTTTCGTCCATAGAGATATGGGCGAAAGGTTTCACAACCGAACAAAATAGCAAGGAGTTCCTTTTCGGTGGTATTATAGTTACATTCGCTTTTGTTGAGAGTCCGAGAGGCAAAGGCTATTGACCTATCTTTGCCAATTGGACCTTGACTGAGTAAAGCACCAATAGCATAATTAGAGGCATCACATGTTAGGATGAAAGGGATGGAAAAATCTGGATAAATGAGGATGGGAGCAGAGGTAAGTTTGTGCTTGAGTTCGTCGAAGGCGACTTGTCGTTGGTTTTCCCATAGAAAGGGGACATCCTTTTTTAGAAGTTGAGTTAAAGGTTTGGCAATTTTTGAGAAGTTGGCAATGAAATGGCGATAATAGGATACAAGACCGAAGACGGACTTAATGTCTTTCGGGGATTTGGGAGTAGGAAATTGAGTTACCGCTTTTAACTTTTCAGGATTAGGTTTTACACCATCTTTAGTTATTTGATGGCCAAGATATGCGACTTCACGTCGGAGATACTCACACTTGTCAGGTTGGAGTTTTAAATTGTAATTTCGAAGCCTTTGGAATACTGACGAAAGGTTATCGATATCAGAATTCAAATCATGAGAATATATGACGATGTTATCAAGGTAGATGAAACACCGTATGCCTTGGAGGCCTGTGAAAGCGGTATTCATTAATCGTTGGAAAGTGGTAGGCGCGTTTTTTAAACTAAATGGCATTCTTATAAATTGGTAGTGTCCTTGTGGTACACTAAAGGCCGTTTTAGGAGCGTCTTCCTCATTGATCAAAATCTGGTGAAATCCTGACGCAAGATCAAGGGTTGAGAAGTATTTGATCTGTTCTAGCTGATCTAAAATTTCGGATATTTGCGGTATAGGGTAGATGTCACCAAAAGTGATATCGTTTAATTTCCGATAGTAGATAATTATACGCCATTTACGGAATTCCGTTTCGAGATTCCGAATCGATATTCCGTGAATACATCACACACATACGTTTTTTATTCCGTTTGGAATAACTAGGGTCAGTCAAGAGACGTTAGTCATTGAGTCAGACGTTCTGCCAGCGAAAAATTACGACAATTTTCTAATTGCGATTCCATTGTTGCTGTATTATTCTTACTGGGTGCATGCCCTTATCACCCTAAACTTGTAATATAGTCAATATTATGTAAAAAGATCTATCTATCCAGAGATATTTTTTAAATATGGATGTCTGTAAATTCTTTCGACAAATTATTAAATAAAATAAGATGAAAGGTTACGAAAAGCTATACATCTATAAGATTGAATGTAAAAACATACATAAACACACCTACTCGCTTCGATCGTGTGACGAACACTGAGCGCGTTCCGTATGGAATTTATAAGTATAAGTATATATATAAGTATTGCGACTCGTACAAAATCTATGAAAAACTTGCGTTCGGAGTGGCTTTATTCCGTTCGGGATTCCGAACGCACAGGCGGTCATACGGAATCTCGAATCGGAGAAATTTCGTACGGAAAAATTCCGTACGTGTGTCATAGATTTTATATGGACTTGCTGCATTCGAGATTCCGAATTGGAATATCGAAACGGGATCCCGAAACGGAATTCCGTATGTATGTGGCGGGCCTAAATTTGTTTTTCTATCTAGCTCTTTGGTGGGTTGGGATAACTAAAATTACCAAACTTATTATGTTATTGAAATAAAAAGGTATATTTATTTTATATCACATACTTATGTATTTTTGGTTTTAATCATATTTATAGTAAGTACTTGTATTTAACAACAAAACTAGCTATATAGCAGTCTTTACGAAAATATTAGTCTAGGTTTAAAATATAGGTACATAAGCTATTAATAATCTAATTATCACTGTCCAAATATTCTTAAATAAATTGTAATTCAAAATATTTATTGTCAGTTAAGTGTTAAATTTGGCGTTAATTAAAAATATGATTTATCTTATAACTCAGGGGTCTAATATCAAAGGCGGCAAAGTCCAGTTATAGTAATTTTAAGTCTTTTACAAAAAACCAATAACATTTAAAAGATATTATATATTACTGTTATAATATATCTTTATATATAAAAATTACGTGTCACGTTGTTTGTCCGCGATGAACTCCTAAACTACTGAACCGATTTCAATGAAATTTTGCACACTCTGTGCAGTTTGGTCCAACTTAAGAGATAGGATAATTTTATACTGATAAGTGACACTCAATATTTTTTATTACAAATACAAGGATTTTTTATATGAAGGGTCGTCGAAAAGGGCAGAACAACGTCTGAAAAAAGACACAAATGGCAAACTATTTTCGAAATAGTCAAGACAAACATCCATACATCCACCAAACTTTCGCACTTATAACATGTATTAGTATGATAGGTACAATATTATTATACATAAAGGAAAAGGATAAAACTCAAAACGTATTACAGAGGAACAATTTTATTTAATATTATAAAAATATGAATATATTTAATAAAAAATTATAATTATTATTTTGTAGTTAAAAAATTTATTCGAGCGTACAACAATAAAGAAAGTAGCTACTGACCTTAGTTTTTTTGACTTAATTTGCTTCCAGTTTTCGGAATTGATGGCTCTTTCCTGGCTTTATTTTTAGGCACAACTTTAGGTCGGCAGTCCATCTTCACTTTTATACATATTTTTTAAATAACTTATAATTAAAGGAAATAAGGACATAAATAATGCAGTTTCGTTAAAAACAGCCTTTGAAACAACTCGTCTCTGATTGGTCGAAATGGACATTACTAATTTTGTCATGTTAGTCAGGGATTTTCCCGAATTTGTTATAAAACGTTTTGTTTATGCACAGAAATCTATTGGATTTTACCGGATTTGTTCAAATTTCTCAAAGTGATCTAGTAAGATAGATAGCCACACCCAATAAAATTAAAATCAACGTTTGGCATTATATGGGACTTTGCCGCCTTTGTTATTAGATCACTGAACTTAACTATCCTTTTCGGGTATTACACTAATAGGTCTATGACTTACATAACTATATCATAATTAATCAAAATTATAAAAAATATTAAATTACATAACTTAGCTATTATAAAATTCTAAATAACAAATTGTTTCGGTTTTAGTTAAATACTCTTTGAAACACAATGCACATACACAACGAACGAATCTGGCAATCATGTACAGCAGCCCAAACTCGTGTTAGGGAAATCCAACCCGAGTTAACTCGAGTTAAGCGCAACTCGATAACTCGAGTTGACCCATTACTACCCTTTGGTAATTTTTTTTAAATAATGTAAATGATAAATGTGAAGAAATCTAATTTAGCTCTTTGCATAGATCATAGATAAATAAATATGTAGCAAGCTAACATAGATTACTGTATATATACTAGAGGCTCTTTGGGTTTTGGTTCAAGGAGCAAAACAAATATTTCGTGACAACTATAAATTTGTGTTTATTTTATTAACTCTTAAGTTTGCTGTTTCCTTTGATTTGGCGCAAAAATATAGTTTAAAATTTAGGGATTTGCAAAATTTGACAATCATCTGCTTTTATATTGAATGTTTTACTTAAATATTTCCGTTTTCATAATTTCAATTTCAACAAGCTTTAAATATTTATAATTCTTCAGTATTATAGCATCATGTCTCAAGCTCGGCTTGCATCGTGTATCCCATTGCCTTTGGAACATAAATTATTAGTAACAGTAATCGAAAAAGCTAAAGATTGGGCACTCATGCACGGTGTTGGAATGCGAGACAAGAAACATTTTACAAAAGACTCTATACAGGTATTTTCTATACTGTACTCAATCAAAATCACTTATCATCTCGATAATTCATTCTTGTGAGCATTAAAGTTCTAGAAATATGCTGCAAATGCACAAAGTTAGGCTGTAAAAAACCTACAATCGAGTTTAAGGTTAATTTTTATCTTATGTTTGTTAGTCTAGTTCTTCTTCTTTTAAATTATGGCTTCTCTTGATAGAATTCTGCCGGTGTCAATTCAGTCATGGGAGTGACAAATAATTATTACAGAGTTCTCAATTTTACGAGTGGATTTACAATTACAACTAAAAACGTCACATTTTTAAATACCATCACCAAAATTGATTAGTAATTTTACAGTTTAATATTATTAATACGAATAAAATCACACGAAATATTTACTAAAGGAGTATACACTAGGGACAGCAAATACTGGAAATTTACAGGATGTGGGATGTAATTGGGCAGGATATCATATTGAGTGAGAAAGATTAGGACACTCCATTAACAGATGATTTGCGGATCCCTCATCTAGCCCACATTCACAGATTGAGCTGTCCCTAATCCTTAGTTTAGCTAACAGGACAAACAGGAGAGGTGATTGTTTTACTAAAGTGGCGATACTAAAAAAACCAGGGTTTTGATGGGATATTAATTTGAACTTTGGAATAGTATTTACATTTTAAAAGTTTAGACTGATGCCAATTACATTATCATGAAGACAAGGCTGGAAATAGCTTTTGGTATATCTAATGTGTAGAGGCATTGTTTAGGGAGTGAGCTAGATTTGGTAACTTCTTTAGCTAAATGATCTGCATTTTATCACCCTGAATCCCCCAGTGGCTAGCGATCCATGCCAAGACAATTTTCAGCCATTTTTATAGCATCTGTACAGAGACTTTCTAATATTTAAAATTAGGGGGTATCTTATCTTAGACTGAAAAGGACTGGATACAATGCTTTGAAGGCAACTAAAGGAGTCTGAGAAAATGAGTCCTTTCCAGACTGTGTGATTCCGCATATAAGACTGACTCTAAGATAGGTATAGACTCACCTGTGAATACAGATAAGTCAGGGTCAAAGTAATCTTATAATTAGGGATCCACGCTGCAGACCCAACTAATCCTTTGTCACTTAGCTTTGAAGCACAGTGTACATAATTAACCAATCATGCCAATTTTGGAGGAGGAGCATATTTAATTTGTAATTTGTTTCAATAGTATTCTTATCTATTCCGAAATTTAGAATAATGTCTGAATTGAAAATTAGAGCCTCATATGGGATATTGAAAAGTGGATTACTAAGGGATTGATAAACTGGAGTTAGTGAACATTGACTAATTTAATATAACTTTTTATAATACATTGCAAATCCTTGTGGAACCAATATGGAGAGTCCCTGACCAATTAATATGAGGAACGAAGTTTGGAGAGGAGAGGATGGTGTAAATAACTAGTAGCATAGAAATAAGGGAAGCTCAACACATTCAACTTGAAGAGTGGAAATGGGGGTAGATTTCATGCCACCTGTTATTATCCATAGACATTTTGACTGAATTTTGTCCAAGGTATTAAGGGCCATTTTGCTACATGGCTCTAGTAAAACACAACCGTAGTCAAAATTATTTCTAATTAGAGCATTGTATAAAAGCTTTTGGGAGTAGGGATGGCAACCCTACCAAGCACCTGATAGGGATCGGATTACATCGAGATTTTTTTTCACATTTAGAAGCAATATATGAGCAATAGATGAGGAATTCCTGTCATTTTGTTATCTAGAATAACTTCAAAAAATTTCACCTGATTTTCAGTAGGGATTAGGATATTTTCAATAAATATGGACACTTCTCGTATATAAATATACCTTCGCCTAGGGAAAACCACAGTACTGCATTTCAAAGGACATGCAGAGAAGGACAAAGTTGACAGCTTGGGATAAATGGGAAGTAGCATTGGCAATAGAGGCATCAGTTACAAATAAGGCTAGGTCATCTGCATATTGCAGGATATTATCTAGGTAATTCACAGATCTGTCTAGATTATGAGTGTAGAGACAAGGGACAAGCCCAAGAGACAACGGGCTCAAGACTGAGCCTTTTAGTCTAGTTTTTTAAAGTTATATTGCGAAAATTCAAATAGCTATGACTTCTGTCAAAAGCACGAAAGCACTCTTTTTTTATACATGGTAGTGCCTTGCTGCAGCTATATTGTATAGTTGCAGCACGAATGGGTCAGCTCAACTGGGGAAGGACTACACTCCCACAGAATACCAGCTTAAAATAGCAGCTTAATGCTGCTGTGTTTCATATGGTGAATGTATAACTGTAACTGGAGACCCTTTTCACTGAAAAAGAGGCATTCCATCTTAGTCCTCATGGCTGACAACGCATTTGCTTTTTGTTTCGTAAATGAGGATATATGTAGATCTTTGGGTAGTAGTATAGTAGTATCTGTGGGCCACAGAAATCACTTACCATCAGGTAGACTGTTTGCTCGCTTGTCAACCTTATTCTATAAAATTAAAAAAAAACATATCAATGAAAGTAAGCCAAATTGGAAATTTATTCTCTTTACAGGGTGTGCTCTCCACACCTTACTCCTTTCCTCATCCTTTCACACAGCATGGTAATAGGAAATGCTTACGTTTATATATTTTTTGCTCAAATTACATTAATCCTTCCCCTTGAAAATTGATTAGTCTTTATATATTTCTTTTAAAATATTTCATAAAGATATTAAGTGGATACTGCCATGGCTACGGCCCATTGATACCTGAAACAAACATTAAACGAAGACGGCTACAGATGCATTATTTAACTTCATTAAAATATGTTTTAAACTTGTTTAATATTTAAAAAAAATAGTCCATATGATGGTAAACTAATTTCAGACAAAGCTGGCTAGATGTTTTGTCCTCTGTGGAGTGAGATGTAATGATACTATGTGACTAAAACAATTAGTTAGTTACAGCCTATATACGTCCCACTGCTGGGCAAGGGCCTCCTCCCAATGAGACACAAAATTGGGAGAGAGGGTTATAGGGTCTGAGAGGGTTTTAGGGCCAGGAAATGTTCGCAGTGCTACCCCAATGCTTGTTGGTGAACTTCACACATCTACGAAATATTTTTTATTATTCTCTTACATGCAGGATTCCTCACGATGAGTTCCTTCATCGCCAAGCGTGTGGTAAATCAGCACATAAAATTGTAATTAACAATTTCATCGGTGCCGGTGGCTATCGAACCGGGGTTGTTCGCTTACTGTGAAATCAATTGCTTGTGAATCTGCCTGATTTATTGATATTAAAGTTTCATAACTGGCTGTAATGATTCTTCAAACCTTTAAAACATATTTGCAAACAGTTTCAGGAGCTATTACTCACAGAACAAAATTAATCCCTTGCAACTACTCAGTTAATACATCAATACCATAATATGATTGTCTTTTTTTTTCAATAGATTGCACCCTTTGTGTTGCTGCCATCTCCATTTCCAAGGACAGAGTTTGACAAAGCAATTGAACTCCAACCAGTGTTGAATGAACTTATGCATAAGGTAAAATTAACTACTATTGCTGTGTCTTTATAGAGTTGTGTGCTACTTTTATTAATTATATAAAGTACTCAATAATAAAATGCTACTTATAGCAATAACCATTGGAAAAGATTATAGCTAGCTATATGACGGATGTAGCACTAGCTATGAGGCCCATACTAGCATGCTTACCGCAGAGGCAAATCTGTGGAAACAGCCTGATCAGTCTTATTAACAGGGTCAAAAAAACGCTGGAGGATAAAGAAATATCTCTTTGTACCTTTCTAGATATTAAGGGGGCCTTCGACAACATTTTTATATATAACCATATCCACCAGGTGGGTTCAGTCAATGCTCTCAAACAGAAAGACAAAAATACTGCTGTTTCATACTTCAATTGAACTTGCAACCTCATTGAAATTGAATTGAGCTTGAGGTGTGTTGTCACTCCCTCTTTGGACTCTTGCAGTTGACCAATTATTGTACAAATTGGTAGACCTTCACATTGACACACTGGGTAATGCTGATGACCTTGTGGTCATTGCGAGGAGTTTTTATCAAAGTGCCTTATCATCAATCGTACAAAAGGCTCTAAACACCATCCATAATTGTTATTGGAATAACAGTTATCAATTAATGCTGATAAAACTGTTATAATACCTTTTACCAAAGGAGACAGTTGGACAAATTAATTACACCAAAGCTTAATGGTAAAGTACTACCATATTCCGCTGAAGTTAAGTATTTGGGCGTAACAATCGACCAAAAACTAACGTGGAACTCTCACCTTAGCAACGTATGTAAGTAAGTAGCACAGTCGTATGGTTGTGAACAACTGGGGCTTGCCTCCCAGTATGATCCTATGGCTGTACAATAGCATAGTGAGGCCGATTGTTACCTACGCCTGTTTGATGTAATATGGCTACAAAGGACTGCCTGTTTAATGGCAACTGGAGGGATGTGATCATCGCCTGGAGTGGCGCTTAATGTACTTCTATGTCTAACGCCCCTTTATCTTTGTTTAGACAAGGAGGCAAGGGCTAGTTTGTATAGTATTAACGCCCAGGTTTGAGCTTGCTTTCCTTCAGATTGAGATCCTTGCTCGACTCAATGAAGGAAACACCGATTTTATGCATGATCTCAGATATCATGCGTCCACTATACAATTTTAATAAAAAGCACATAGTGAAACTATCCTCCAGAAAAAGACTGGCTGAATGGACAGGTTATCTGTGAGGTCGGTAGCCTTATATGGTGTACCGATAGGTCAAAAATGTGCTTCGACGTAGGCTTTGGAATAAATGGGAAACGCCCCAAATTCATATAATAATAATAATAATAAGATGTAAAATTGATATGATAATAATAAGGCATTCTCACGACTGGCTACGTTTCGGTGACCTCTTTGGGAAAACCGAGGGTTTTTGTCTGTGCGATACAGGATCAAGTTATTAAGATGAACAACTATCGGAGATACATCCTAAAGGATGGCGTCGTCGACATCTTTCGAGCTTGTCGCCATCCCATCACTAAGGGCGCGTTCCGACGACACGCAACCGATACGCGCACGTCACGCGCGTTAGCACCCGCGTCTAACTCGCTTTGAAATTTGTTGCATATAATTGCCCGCCTCGTTCCCGCTCCGCGCTTATCCCGTGCTCACGCGCTTTTTATACAATTTCAGATTTATTGATTTGTCATAAGATTCAAATTATATGCAAAAAATTTCAAAGCGAGTTAGACGCAAGTGCGGAGGCGCGTGGCGTGCGCGTAGCGGGTGCGTGTTGTGGGAACGCGCCCTTAGGCATGTCATCTCTGATTGTTCGGCGCTTTCTAACTCTGAATATATACTCAGACACAACCGCATTTTAGGGGGCCTCGCGAGACGCCTTAAAATGCGATGCCCCCAGACTTTACCACAGATAACTAATTAATTTGATCAATTTTACGGTCGAAAAAGTAGGTCGCACTTAGGAGGGCCTCGCAAGAAGCCCCTCTTAGGTGGGACCGTTATAACTACCTGGGACGCACTTAGGTAGAGGCCGGTGTAATTACCTTCAAAGACTGCGACCGCTAGATTGACGGAATACAAGACTTGTCAGGAATTAATAGCTGTGAGTAGGTATGTTGTGTCAAAGCATGTTTGGTGGGATAGGTCTATTGGGTAGGTAGATCTTGGGAACAAAAGAAAAACGGCCTCGCTGATGCGACTTCGCCCACGTCTATATTAGTTCACACTACGCCTCTGACTAGTAGCCAGGATTCTACACCAGGAGCTCGCTCTGAATACGGTCTCGTGGATCGCAAAACTGCCTTATTATAAGTAAATGCCGGAAGCCGTGCTCGAAAATAACCGCGCCAGGCTCTTATTATAACAGTTTTATCAGCGTTAACTGATAAACTGTCTGAGTAGGTACTTATTCAAAACAAACAATTCTCTTAGGAATATCTGTAATAATAAATATCAGTTAGATATTCGTCAAAAGTCTAGTGTTTACATACTTGTTTGTGACAAATACCACGTAGCCTACCTGTTTCTGCCGGCAAGTAGCAGTGCTTGCATAGAGAACCACAATAATTATATGTGATGGTTCCGTGGCGCAATGACTTAGTAATGAGATGCAGCGTTGAGGACCACTGGTTTCCAACCAACGGTCCTCAGCGCTGCATCCCGCATGTAAGTACTAGTAGATTCGATAATATCATATGGAATAACAAGTTATGGTCGTACATTCGAAACATATATAAGAAGAATCTTTAATTTACAACTAAAATTCTTAAAGCTCATTGTAGATGACAAGGTAAAACAAAAATATAAAGAAAATAACTATATTGGTATTTTTAAATACTGTAACGTCATACCTATAAATAAAAAACTTGAATATCATATCATGATTGAAGATTTTAATACGATTCCTTCATTAAAAATGGTAAAATATTCTGATAGAACACGACAAAGTAATAAAAAATCTGTAGCAAAAATAAAGTCAAATAACTTTTATGGAGACAGGAGAACTGTTAATATATTAGCTTCTATTCTAAATGATCTTCCAGAAAACCTTCAGCCTTCATTATAAATTCTCAAATGATATTAAATCTATATATATATATATATATATATATATATATATATATATATATATATATATATATATATATATATATATTAGTTTATTAAATAATTTAAAAAAAGAAAAATTGCTATAGAAATCAGCCTGTATATGTATAGTATACCGTACACACTCATCGCGATAAACAAGCGAAACCTGTATGTCGTCATGTCGCTAATACAATGAATAGGTTGTTAGTTGTTATCATACTTAACTTTATCAATTATACGATGGTAGTTATTAAAAATAACATATTTATGCGTATAGACGTCTGCAAGCACCAATACAAACCGCTTTGCGGTTTAATGGTGCTGAATAGTAACTATGTACTATTGTAATATGTTTTATGTATCATTAAATAAAATTAAAATAAAAAATAAAGAAGTATTTGTATGGCTTATAAATAATTGTACCGGGTCTGAATGTCTGTCTTTGTGAATTGTATGTATGTAAACCTGCCTGTACGATACTGGTGAAAACTTGTGAAAAAGTTATGAGGTAACACAAAAAAAAAACATACAGTCGAATTGAGCACCGTCTCCTTTTTGAAGTCTGTAGAAAAGAGAATATAATAGAATTGTGTGTGTGTGTGTGTTGGACAAGAGAAAAAGAGATATTGATTTTACTGTAAACATTGAGTTATATGTACTACGTACTAGAGAAGCCATTCCAAACAAGAATTGTGTCCTACTCTATGTCGTGACTACTACTCCCGCGCATGCGCGAAGTCTTTAATTTGATATAAAATAAGATATTAATATAAAATAAATATCAGAATTTAATATAAAATATCTTATGGAATTCAGAAAACTTCAATTTGCGCAATATTTAGTTTGTACGGATTGCAGTACAGTTCAGTTGAACATAGTCAATGTTCGGAATGCGAAATCTAGTGCGTAGTACATATAATATCGATGACTGTAAATATTTTCAGATTCCTTCATCTTTATTATTTACTAGTAAACAGCCACAGCTTCGCCTGCAACTATTAATGTGGCATTATTTAGATTTACGTTAATCAAAGATCATTTTATTATCTACACAAATAAATAAAATTGAAGTGTCTGTTTGTAATGTCAAAATAACATCTTTTTACTAAATGCATATGAAAGTATATACGGTACTAATAACAAAAATACAACTTTAAAGTTTTTGTCTGTCTGTTCGTCTGTCTGTCTGTTTGTTCTGGCTAATCTCCGTAACGGCTAGACCGATTTTGACGAGATTTTCACTGGCAGATAGCTGATGTCACAAGGAGTAACTTAGGCTACTTTTATTTTAGAAAAATAATTAGGGTTCCGCGCAAAAAAATTAAAACCCCAATAACACGCGGGCGAAGTCGCGAGGCACAGCTAGTTTATCTATAAATTTTTCGTGTTCTCAAAAAAAAAATCTTCACGTTTTTTGTTCCTTGTGCGATACGAAAATCTACCTCACGAGACTCTGACTTTGCTCTTAAAATTCATAGCTCCTCCCACCACCAGGTGCAAAATTGTCAATGTGTTGATATTGCTAGATCGTCTACTATTAAATATCTAGGCATCACTATCTACCAGCATCTTATATGCAACAAACAAATTGAGTGTACCATTGACAAGATAAGAAAGCTTATGTGGGTTTTTAGAAGACTCAGACATGTCGCAGATAATAAAATCCTTATATGTACGTATAAAGCTCTAGCCCAATCTGTCTTAAGCTACTGAATTACAGCATGGGGTGGAGCAGGTAAGTCATATTTAATAACTCTTGAAAGGGCTCAGAGAGCATTACTGAAAGTGATGTTCTTTAAACCAATCCGTTTCTTAACTCACGAACTACACAAATCTTACAAAATCTTTACGACCCGCCAAATGTACATTTTAAAGAGTGTTATACGAACCCACAGCACTTTACCATACACTGCCCTTCACACACTATAATGTAGAATTCTACCCGTTTTCAATATTTCATATTGTAAAAACAAATTTAAGAAAAAACAATTTGCCTGTAAATCAAAACATCTATATAACAAATTAAATAGTAGGCTAAATATGTATTGTGTTAAATTGAAAAATTTGTTAACAACAACTCTGCTTAGCCTCAATTATGAAGAAACAGAACTGCTTATTTGCTAAATACACACGCGCGCGCGCACACACACACACACACACACACACACACACACACACACACGCACGCACACGCACGCACGCACACGCACACGCACGCACGCAAATATACATACACTTTCATTCTTTCTTAAGTATTTAAAATTTCATCAATTCATGTCTAAAGGATTATTAAAGCAGATAATATAATATGTAATATCCTATGTTTCAAATTGTTAAAATTTGTCTGTTGGAAGAGCGGGGTACCCCGTAACACAGGTTTTACCAACCCAGTACAGGAACCCTTGCCACTTGTTTGTTACTACCTTTTGAAACGCAATAAACGATTTTTGATATTAACATATACATATAAGTTAATATAGTTTATTTATTCAAACAAGGATGATTCATGTAAGAAGCGTTGTCTTTATAATATAAGAACAGTATAATATCAATTTTATTATTATAAACTAACTTAGTTTTTTTTTTTAATTTTTAGGTAGCTCATGATGACGAATTTCTAGAGCACACGTTACAAAATGCCCTGCAAGTGGATGAGTTTACAGCTAACCTGTATGATATATGGATAAAAGTTCGACAAGAAGGTATTACACAGGTAACTGATGGAAATCACTTTGCTACACTGTTAATATTACTTTGTCATAGTATGCTAAGTATTTCGATATTAATTTACTTTCTACTCTGTCATAGTAAGCTTATATAGATCTGAAAATTCTATTTTTTATCTTTTGTTATTTCCTGTGACTGTCCATGATTGGTAGGTGATGCAATATTTCCCTTTAACATTACGGCGATACGTTCGAAAGTAAATTATACAAGTAGCATATTCATTAACAATATATCATTTTTGTTAATTTTAAAAATATTTTTGCTTCATCATACAGTTAAAATATTAATTGTCCTACGCAGTGTAGTGAGTATAAACTGGACCTAAAGACAGTTTACGCATATAGACATGTGGCTACAAATAAAGAATAAGGTACAATTTATAAACCGACTTCAAAAAGGAGGGAGGTTTACAATTCGTAGGGATCTGTTTTTTATGTAAATACACCGATTACTCGAAGACGCCTGAACCGATTTGGAAAATTCTTTTTTTTTTTTGTTTCATTGGGTATACTTCCCAGGTGGTCCCATTTAAATTTTATCGAAATCGGTCGAGATGTTTCAAAAAAATTAACAAAAAATTATATTTTTATTGAAGTCGGTTGTATAATTTTTTTTAATTTTGCCACTTTTGTTTAAAAAGCGGTTAAGGAATCGCATTAATGCATGCTACGACGTATTGCCACCAGGGCGGCGCCATTTTGGAATGAGGTGAAATATTTGACAGATTTCATAGCGAGAAGGTTAATTTGTTAGGAAAATGTAATGGTTAATGTTTCTTTGTGTAATTAGATTAGAAATTAATAAACCAAACTACGAATTTTTCCTAGAAGTAGAAAAAGTAAAATAAGAGTTAAAGATGTACAAAACAATTAAGAGCAAACCAATAATTCTCTATCTTGTGTAGAAATTGATAAACATTTATTTAAAACTAACTTCTCAATTAAATGGCATGGTGTAACAAAAAAACTTCACCTGAGTCCCAAACAGCGACATCTAGTGAGCGATAGATTATTAGTCCTCATTGTTATATTATAAAATGCTTTAGATTCTTAGTTATGTTTGGTATGTCTGGTGTAGCCCATAACTCTTGGCATGCTGCGATCTGACATAATGCTGGAGTCCAGGTGTCCGCACACAGTGAACCAGTGTGCGAAACACACGCCCTATTGCTCTTGGAAGCAAGTGGAAATCAACAGCATAGCCTCCGGATTCGGCCATCTTGGACCGATTTCGAGGGACATACAGAGGTAGCCGATCGGTACATATGTATATAAACGTCACCCTACTGTCCTGTTACGCTATGAACAATTTGCCTTGAAATGTAGAGTAGTGTTGTCTCATTCTAACTTTCTAGATTTAGAACTGTATGTAAAGTGAAAAAACTGAGTTATTATTTTCGAAAAATTTGCATTATGTTTTCAATCGAAGCAAGTTTACAGTCAAAACGTTGGTAATTTAGTAATAAAAAGCCAATATAAAAATAATGCTGACGCGTTATATAAAAATACATTCGTATAAACGTGTGTCCGTTGTGTACGTATCGTTCACACAAGGTTACAACTTGTTTATTCATAATTGATCAAACCTTATTCAAAAAACGAAACTTAAATTTATGCTTATTATAAAAAGTAGTTTATATTCAGTCTCAGGCATAGAGCAACACGGGCCACCGGCGGATCGGAGGGGAGTAGCCATACGTAGGCGTTCCCTCTGTCAAAGTACAAGTCCACGCGAACGTATGCGTGCAATAAACTAGTTGCAGCCGCGCTGCTCACTAGACTAAATCTAGTTGCGCGGCTGAATCGACTTCCTACTAAATACCGAATTGTTCAGTTGTTTGCTGCAAAAAAGAGAACTGCCACGTCATTTACAAAAACATGGCGTTACTTTTCGTATGTAATTAATTTTTAGTCACATTATTGTTATTTACTTCTTTTTAAAGTTAACAATTACTATAATAAAGGTCGTGTTGTTTCTGATTTGTTTACCGACACAGGCCGCTCATCCTGATACAATATGCAGATCGGTCGAGCGACTGATTCGAGTCTGTATCTGAATTGTCGCTGTCATTGAGCGATAAGGTTATAATGTATCTATTTGTGTGTGAAATTGTTAGTTTTTTGTTTTTTATGTGTGAGTTTCGAAGTGACTGACACACGATAGTTTTTGTGTGCGCTGATTTCCCTACTCAAAAGACAGACAGTTCTGTATCGGGAAATAACGTTATGCCTACTCTCCTCCGGTCCGCCGGTGGCCCGTGTTGCTCTATGGTCTCAGGTTTAAACTAAAATCTATTTCACGAAAGAAGTCCAGTGACTGTAACATTGTATTGCTATGATTATTAACTAATGTACAATTTTTTTTTTAAATTTAACCAGCGTTTTATCAATAAAATTGCTACATTAAAACAAATATATGTGCAAATTTTTCGAAAGTTCTGTTTTTGGGCTGTTTTGTTGCATTTATTTGTGTTTTTAGTAGTAACACATATTTAAAATATTTATTCTAAACTACTATAAAATATCAGGATAAAACCGATTAAAATTAAATAACAAAAACATTTTTCGTTTATTACTACAAAAATAGTGTTCTCTTTAGAATATGCTAATAGTATATTTGATATTAAAATTAATGATTAAAAAAGGTTATAAAGCTTTTTAAACAAAGCTAATCTATGCTTCATATCATATACATATAATATACGTTAAAAAAAGAGATATTCTGGCTATATGATAGTGTAACAGTTCGGTTATTAACATCATTTCTAACTAAACGTTCATATTTGATTTTAACACCTAACGTGTTATCCATTTTTTATAAACTCTAAATTAGTTTGACATTTTGTTAATCCACAATAACCATGAAATTTCTAGATAATGTTTTTTTTAATTAAAAAAAATAGCACCTAAGACAGAAACGTGCATTGTTGAGTTTGCAGTCACATGTTCTGTGATACCCATATTATTGATATTGTTACGTGCACGGTGAGTATGAATGCTGATTAAATGAAAACCCGATTTTAAACGCGATAAAATGAATATAGAACTTTCTAGGCCAATCCAGGACATTCCACTCTTTCAAACGGAAAGTACTAGAATACTCGCGATTACAAAATAATAACAATGTCCGAGGAAGAAGAAACTTTATATACGTATACATAAGGTTGCGTCTTGTTTGCATCAATAGTTCGAGCGTATTTTTATGCCTACACATTTTATTACTCGACAAAGACCACTGGCCCTTATCGTCGAGAACATTCTCGTGCAATGTGACGCAATATGCAACTGGCTGTCGTAACAAAATTATGGTCGTGTGATGGTCAAGAGGAAAATATCGCTTATAAATCCTCTTAAAAATTCTCGATTATACAGGATGGAAATTTGAGACAGGGCAACAAGGCCAACTGCCTTATCCATAACTGTCTATGACAGTACGTAATTATGTTTTGTTATAATTTGACCTAGTCCCGTATAATGTCTAATTCCTCCAGTATATCTCGAATCTATATGCATAAAATAAAACAGTAAAGGATTAAATGTAGAACATTTGCGTTAGGAGTAATAATGCCCTCCAAATCAAAGAACAATGACAGACATTCATACATAAAATTAGTTGAGAAGGAATGGTAGCGTTTATATATAAGAAATATCTTAAAATGTTAAGCGTCAGTCCCTTAATAACTCTGTCAAAGTATTTTGTCCTGAGAAGGCGTCAAAAAAAAGATATTTAGTTTGAACCTTTTTAAGGTCTTATGTCACTTAAAAAAAGTCATGCGTCCTGTGGTTGTTTGATGTTACCAACCTACCTATGTATATATAACCTACATAATTGAGAGTTTTTAGATTATTGTATCTCTATTATATATTTGCATACTATAAATGTATATTTCTGGCTTGGCTTCAGAGCCTTTGTGTCACACAGTGACATTCTCAGAAGGACTAGCACCCACAGCCGTATAGCCAGTAAAAAAACCAGTGACATTTTATTTTAGCTAGTGTTGCTATAACGTTAAATGGAATTGTTACATAGTACTATGATTGAGATAATGTATTATTTTAGGAAGTTCTTTTTAAGAGACTCATTTTCAACCATATCACTTTTATTTTTATTATTACTGATAGTATAGTTATTACTAATAATAACTTAATATAAAAATATTTTTTGTTTGTGTGTGGTGTTGGTAGTCTTAAAAAGTGTATACGAAAATAGTATGATTATAGTAAATGGCAACACTTGAACAGAGTAAAATGATTCAAGTCATTTGATATTCCCAAAAATGTTTGTTTGAAACTTTTTATTTGAAAAATCGTAGAAAAATAATAAAACTCATTTTGTATATAACTTATTTCTAGACGCAATAATTTTTGTCAACTATTTTTCTGCCATTGTTCTTTCGGTTTCTGCGGCCAACCTCAACGGAGACTAGCCTCTTGCGGATAGAATAATAGTGTACGTGTGTGTGAGCAATCACAGATGCACTCTATTCCCCACATTCACAGTGTGATGGGGCGGCAATCCGACACGAACCGAAAGATATCAGACGCAGGAGCAACGGTTTTACGGTGCTTTCGTTTGTGACTGTTTGCGCGCGCATCATGCGAATATTCATGGCCGCCATGGCATTGTCTTGATTTTATTATACCTAATCAGGTCATAAGTATTGTCACACAGTATAAACTTTTCTTTTAGAATGCTGGCCACAAAAAAGTTTATTGAATTCGAATTTCGAATTGTTCATGAAAATAAAACTGTATACTTTTTAGAATTTTACTCATTTTTAAATATGGAGTGGACGCTTAAAGAAGACCGTATTGCAGTTATTGCGTTGCATCGTTGCGGTTACGCGCCAATTCAAATTTTTGACATACTGAAAAATTTGAATATAACCAAAAGATTCGTTTATCGTACCATCAAACGATACAATGAAGACTCTAGTGTAGATGACAGGTCAAGAAGTGGTCGCCCTCGGTCTGTTAGGACTCCAGCAGTGATAAAAGCTGTGAAGGCGCGAATTCAAAGAAATCCCAAACGTAAGCAGAAACTGTTGGCCCTTCAGATGGGGTTAAGCAGAACCACGGTGAAAAGGGTGTTAAATGAAGACTTAGGGCTTCGGGCATATCGAAGAAAAACAGGACATCGTTTGAATGCTCGTCTAATGGACCTGAGACTGAAGAGATGCCGCACTTTGTTGAAGCGGTACGCGGGAAAAAAATATCAGGACATTATTTTTTCGAATGAAAAAAATTTTACCGTTGAAGAGAGCTACATCAAACAAAATGATAAGGTGTACGCACACTGTAGTGAAGAAGCGAGCAACCGTATTCCGCGTGTCCAACGAGATCATTTTCCATCCTCGCTCATGGTATGGTTGGGAGTTTCTTATTGGGGCTTAACAGAGGTACATTTTTGTGAGAAAGGTGTAAAAACGAATGCAGTTGTGTATCAAAATACAGTCCTGACGAATCTTGTGGAACCTGTTTCTCATACCATGTTCAATAACAGGCACTGGGTATTCCAACAAGATTCAGCGCCAGCTCATAGAGCGAAGAGCACACAAGACTGGTTGGCGGCGCGTGAAATCGACTTCATCCGGCACGAAGACTGTCCCTCCTCCAGTCCAGAATTGAATCCATTAGATTACAAGATATGGCAACACTTGGAGGAAAAGGCGTGCTCAAAGCCTCATCCCAATTTGTAGTCACTCAAGACATCCTTGATTAAGGCAGCCGCCGATATTGACATGGACCTCGTTCGTGCTGCGATAGACGACTGGCCGCGCAGATTGAAGGCCTGAATTCAAAATCACGGAGGCCATTTTGAATAAACTTTAGTGTCATAAGAATCTATGTTTTGTTAAGTTCATTTTGGTATATAAATGGTTACATAATGAATAAACTTGTTTCAATTATTTTATATTAAACATGTGACAGAATTTATGACCTGACTAGGTATATATATAGCTTATATTCACATACATTGTTGTTTTATTTCAGTCAATTGGGTATGTGTGTGTGCGTGGGGGTTGGTGTGTGTATGGGGGATGGGGAGTGTTGTGTGTGTGTATGTGGGATGGGGGGTTGTGTGTGTGTGTGTGTGTGTGTGTGTGTGTGTGTGTGTGTGTGTGTGTGTGAGTGCGTGTGCGTGTGTGTGTGTGTGTGTGTGTGCGTGTGTATGTGTGCGAGTGTCATACGAGCGAAGTTGCGAGCATTCGCTAGTTTCTTAAATCCTATACCAAAGAAGAAACAGCTGTGTGCTTATTTTGTTCAATAATACTCTGTGGATATTTAAAAATAGACACATAAAGTTAAAACCTTATGCACAATACTTTTATCAAAATTTATATGAAAAATGTTGTATATTTATATGTGGTAGAGCCAAGCCCCAGCGTATTACGCCTCGACTAGGGAAGGACCACGCCCACACAGAATACCAGCGTGAAATAACAACACAATGCTGCTGTGTTTCGTATCGTGAGTTGCGATTACCGGCGACCCATTTTACTTGTACCCGGGGCATTCCATCTTAGTTCTCGTTCTCAGGGGTGACAATTCATCTGCGTTTTCATTCTTTATCAGGATAAATGTGTCTATGGCCCACAACATCCAGTAAGCATCAGGTGGACTGTGTGCTCGTTTGTCACCTTTGTGCTTCTATAAAAATACGAATAAGAAATGCACGTATTGGTCCATCATAAAGTTGGCCGCCTTAAATATCTTAACAGTGTTAAAACGTGGAAAGTGTTTAAAACGATTAAATTTTACAGTCAATCAGCCTTGGCCTCTTCCGCTCCGACTACCTGATGCAGTGCACAGAGGCGAACCTAATAAAGCAAGTGGAATTTAACACGATCGCGGCGAGTTTTGGCGCCATCACGTCCAATCTTCCTGCCATGTCTCGGTACCGACATGTTTTGTGCTGCCGTTTAGTGTGTGGAGTAATGACTAGTTAAGCTAGAATAAAAGAAAATGAAAATACTATATATCCGATTATGACGTAAGTTACCTTGACCGAAATATAGTTTCGACGTCTTAACTCCACACACAAACGGCGATTCAGTCAACATCTCTCATGTGACTGCTCTATCTTTGCACGCTATGCAACCATTTTTCACGTCACTATGAATATTGCTTGTTTTGTTTTTTTTTATCTGTATGCACTGCTTACGCTTTTTTTTTTGCACTGTATTGTAAATTTTGGTAACTGGCACGTTTGCAATGTTACAAAAAAAAACATTTGTTTTTAGATTTAGAACGTTGAGTGTATTTTAAACGCATAGCTTCAGTAGTGTTCACTTGAGAGATGTTACCTGAGGCCTGCATTGTCGGTAAACAAAATGGTGTGTTCCGCGTGGTTATTGTTATTGTATCGTGTTGTTTGTCCACTCATTGCTGATTTCGGCTTAGGGTACACATCTTTCAACAGTTCAGTGTAAGCTTGTCCTAATTCACACACATACACGTGCACGGGTGGTAGGTACATTGACATTTCATTACGGTATCATTATTCATGGAGGTTTCATAACTTTTTGTTTCAATTAAAATTCAATTTAATGCAATTAAAATCTTGGTCCTTACGGGTGACAACGCATCAATAACCGTTTTCTCAGTTGTTTGCACTTTTTTGTGAAGCTGGTGCTTTTTCTCTTTCACAGAATGCGACGGAAGGGTAGAGATAGCCAGTTACAGGTTGAAAGGCATTCCATCTTAGTCCTCAGAGGTGGTAACGCATCTGTAGCCGGCTTTGTTTGAAGTTGGTTGCAGGTGTCCATGGACTGCAGTAGCCACTTACCATCAGGTGGATTCTAAGTTTGTTTGCCAATTAAGTTTAAAAAAAAACGCAACTGCGTTAGTTGCAGAGTGAATCGCACCGGCAAACGATTCACACCAGAGACATTCACACAACTCTCTCCAAAAAAAAAAGAAAAGAATAAAGAGTATCTAAGCAAAAAGAGACCTCCATATCTAGTAAAAATGTACCTATTAAAAAGCGTTAAAATGTTACGTCATTTGTCGAAGGCCATTTCCAACGGCTTTACGTGCTTTCCAAGGGCTTTTCCAACTCCCATGGGTGAATACCATCAACTTTCTTACTCCAGGATGCTATTGAAGAATTTTTTAACAGGAAACCCAATTACTGATTATGACCGGCGTTAGGCTTCGAACTCGAGACCACATGATCATGCAGTCGCGCTTCTGAACACTAGACGATCAAAAAAAATTATTTTTATATAAAACTGCTTTTTTATATTTAACGTTTTTGTGAAAAGCGAATTCTCGACAGCCTAGAACGGTTATACGCTTACGCTATACGTTTAATGTGGATGTTATGAGACATTAAAAACAGCTACCGGCGGCCGCGCCTGTTCGCATGTTTTTCCGCGCAACCATGTTGATACCGCCATACCGAGGTGCATTATAATGTTAAATTAATTTCGATTTTTCACTTCTAAAAACAGGCTATTCAAAAATTCACCAGGTTTTAAATAATGACTATTTCCTTTTTAATGGTTCAAATTTCGATACTATCGTCTTCAACTTAAATAAATTCAAATACAAGATAGATTTTTAAGAGTTGTCAAAACGAACATGTATATTGAAATTGGAAGAGAAAACAGTATAATCGTCGTTGATTTCGTAGTCAATTAATCATCTTATTTGTATATCTTTAAATATCAAAAATCTAATTTAATTTGGAATGGAAAATCGACCAAATCTTAAGACACTGAGACAATAAGACTATATAATTTTATACAATATGGATTATAAATAATTCTTTATTAAACTGTGAAGAATCAGCTAGACTTTTGACCCAGTCTGACCCATGGGACTTTTTTTCCACAATAACATAATATAATAAAAAATTGTACAAATATTTATAACACTCATTTAATAAATGTTAAAAATACGTAAGATGTAGCTATACAGGGTTATTTTTCAAAGACTACCCAAATTTTATATTTAAGTTCAAATATATAAATAATGATACAACGTTATTGCAATCTTTGAAAATACGACTAAATAAGGCTTCTACTTTTATTTAAAATTATCCCAAATTGAACGTGATTCATGGGCAACAAAAACTCGTACGCGCGCTCCTCTGTGTGCGATTTAATTCACAACGTTTTTGCCGACCGATCGACCCTTACGAATGTGTGCGTGCGTAGTAAAATAGTAAACAATCATTTAAAATAATGCATTACCACGCATTTTGAATTTAAAAAATAAAAAGGACAGAATTTTTGAGATTTTTGTTAATAAATTTTTCTTTACCATTTGCCTATATTACTTATTCTGAACCTTCTCTGCAAATTTGACCGATTATTGCAAAATAACCCTGTATAATAGTCGTGCCGTCAAATCAAAGAACAGTGTCAGAATAATCCAAGACTTAACTATATTTAAATAACCTGCATGTATCTGTGTTTGAATATGTATTATTGTACATTTCTCACATTTTACATCGTTACTATTTTAGTAGAGCGTAGATGGTTGGTGTTATTCGTTCACCCTTAATCTTACCACCTGTGTTATAATAACATATAAGTATATCAAGGAATCGTGTTCAAACTAGTATGACTTCCATATATTGAAAAGACGCTTTTGTGTATGTGCAGGTGGAGGATGAGTCTACGAATATCAATGGTATCATATTATTAGATTAATATTTATTGCACTGTGTAGTCTTTAGTATGGTAAATGTTGTGATCTCCTCCATTCTTATTAACTTTAATGAGATAAAACAACTAACGGTACTTAAAGACTGTGGTAGGGTTCAACAAGGGAGATACAGTAATTAAAAAGTAAAAATGTTTACTAAAAAGAGAAAAAATTGATACCCTATGTTACTTCCACAACTAAGCGTTTAGATTACATAGCGTGCCAAAGAAACAAATATACATACATTTATACATAAAGACATACATAAATAATTACACTCGAAAACATAACCATCTTTCTGATTCAGTCGGGTAAAACTTGATAGGTTGTGAATGGTGTGGTTCCTTTTTTGAATGCCCTAATAAATCACTTTTAGACGAACAACACCGTCGACGACTTTACACCGGCTTAGTGCCAGTGACGCGCCATTCGGTATTTAATAAAGCGGGAGAGACTTATTTTTATTAGATTTTTAACGAAGTACTCTATTATTGCTTGTTCTGGACTCATTTTACTTTAAAAAGTCCTCGAAGTATCCTTGACAACATGGCGTTCATTAATATTGTATAAATGCATGGCTAGCGGTTGTCGACAACCCGGGTCGGAAGCAGGCAATAGACGACGATGTCTGATGAATATTGTAGCGACAGAATATGCATTCAAATTGTCTCATCGACATCAATTTAAAGCAGATGAATTGACCTATATTTTTAACACGCATTTATTAGCTTTGCGTGTATGTATGTATGTATATATCTATGTAATGTGTGTATCTTTTAATGCAATTTTCACCAACTTGTAGATGGCCGATTGACTTGAAATTTTGCATGGACCGATGACAATGCAATAATTTAATAACTTTAACCTAGTATCCTGAGCAGGATCACCAGGAGAAAGTTAAATAATTTTATCTTCAGCGTGTTTCTTTAGTTTTTTTAAACTATAATTTAATTACTTAATGATCCAGTTATATAGGTTGTTATCATATTTAAGAATAGAGGAGAAAAATTTAATTTGTAGTGTTACTCTTAACAACAAGCGTTTAGTTTGTTTGTTCTTTATTTAAAATGTTGGCTTATTTCAATTTGATATTTCTTTCGTAGTTTTAAAGCATATGTCACTGAAAGCAGCATCTTTAAGGGTTAGAGTGAGTAAGCTTGTCACAATAAATTCGCTATCATGTTGTCTCATTCTGTCATACCCATATGTGATTGCTTTCTGTAAGATAATCATTCACTGCTTTTGTCCATTTGCCATCAATGTTTATGTGTTGTATTGTTTTTAAATAAAATTAGAATTTTGAAGAAGAAATTATTAATTATTATTCAATTTCAGCTACATCTTGCGGCAGTTGGGACATGGAGATCTCATTAAAAATGTAAGTATTTTATCACGTTTTTATTAACTCTCTTTCTCCTATGTTTTTAGGGTTCCGTAGCCAAATGGCAAAAAACGGAACCCTTATGGATTCGTCATGTCTGTCTGCCTGTCTGTCCGTCCGTATATCGGAAAAAAGTTCCGAAACTATAAGAACTATGCTGTTGAAACTTGGTATGTAGATGTATTCTGTGAACTGCATTAAGATTTTCACACAAAAATAGAAAAAAAAAACAATAAATTTTGGGGGTTCCCCATATTTAGAACTGAAAGTCAAAAATTTTTTCATCAAAACCATACGTGTGGGGTATCTTTGGATAGGTCTTCAAAAATGATATCTGATACCATTTTTTTCTAAACTGAATAGTTTGCGCGAAAGACACTTCCCAAGTGGTAAAATGCGTCCCCGCCCTTGTAACTTCCAAAATAAGAGAATGATAAAACTAAAAAAAAAATATATGATGTACATTACCATGTAAACTTCCACCGAAAATTGGTTTCAACGAGATCTAGTAAGTAGTTTTTTTTTTTACGTCATAAATCGTAAACCACACCTTTTTTTTACCTTTCATTTAATCAACTCAAATATAAAAATAAAAAAATACACTATTATTAAAACATCGATCAAAGTTACAACGAACTACAAGAACTTTTATATTATGTTACTTGCTGCTACGGAACCCTTCATGGGCGAGTCCGACTCGCACTTGGCCGCTTTTTATTTTTCTGTTAAGTACAAAATTTGCAATTGCAAAGTGATTTTAAAGTAATTTCCCTATGAGTTAAAAGTGAAAGTGAAAACATGTTTTTTATTTATTTGTCACATGTGCAGGTTTTCGAGGTTTTTTCACTTGCGAGCACGTGGTAAATCAGCACTTAAAATTATTGCAATTAACAATTTCAATGGTGCCGGCGGGTGTCGAACTGGGCTGCTCACGTACTGTGAAGAATACGTTAGTAATCTCGGTTTCTTTCTATTATTACATTTCCATTAGAGACTATTAAAAGACCACTGCTGAATATAGATCCTCATAGATTGCCTCAAGGGAGTATATTTGCCATAGTTGCCACACTGGCTTAGTAACTGCAGTTTTTTTTTTAAAGTTGAATTGTTTTGAGGACGATGTCCTGTTACATTTTTTTTTTTGTTAATTTAGACTCATACAAAACAATCTTCGCTTACAGATGCCAGAAAACCACGCACTTTCAGGGCTTTGTTCAGGAATTACCGAGGCGTACGATTTATTCGGTGTCCCTACTGCGGTTGTTCTCTTCGTGGTTGAGGAGGTGTCTTACAACATCTGCGACCAGAGATTCCATGAGTTTGAAATATCGGAGAAGAGGCCAGATATTCAGGTAACAATGATAATAATATAGCATATAAATAATACCTTAGTATTTAATTTAATACTAGCGACCCGCCCCGGTTTTGCCTGGAGAGGATATATTAATCTGGCGTTATTTGGAGTCAAGATAATCAAAGGCCAAAGAAAGAAATAGATTTTATCAACTTTTTGTTTTTTCAAAAAAAAATGTAGTCTTTATCTTAGGTTTATTGGAAACGAGGCATTCCATTTTGGTCCTCGGGGGTGGCAGAGCATCTGCATTTTGATCCGCAAACGTAGATAGATGTAGATGTCTATGGGCCACAACAACTACTTACTATCAGGTGGACTGTGTACTCGTTTGTCACCCTTGTACTATAAAAAAAACTTACCTATTTATTTATGTAGTTGTATTCTTATTTACAGATCTACAGGAAGACATTAAATGAAATCTATGAAGAGACGACGCTCAATGATAAAAAACAACTGATCTTGTAAGTGGCAGCCGCAGATTCTTACATTTTTACATTTAATTTAAAGATAGAAAGAAAGAAGCTGTCGCCGATACAACAGCGCTGGTTTTCAGTTGACCCAAACGAATAGTAACGTACAGACGTCCGCGTGCGATACAATACAGAAGTTCTTTTTATCTTTTAAATTCAAAATGCGTAGTAATGCATTATTTTAACTGATTTTATTGCGCACACACTCGTAAGGATCGATCGGTAGGCAAACACGTTGTTGCCCATAAATCACATTCAATTTAGAATAATTTCAAATAAAAGTAGAAGCCTTATTTACTCGTATTTTCAAAAAAACTGCAATAACGGTTTATCATTATTTATATACTTGAACTTCAGTTTAAAATTTATTTACTCCTTGAAAAACAGCCCTGTATAAATAATTATATACAGTTAATGCAGTTTAGTTCAGTCTTTGAAATTTTTCTGTGGGGTAACGCGATTGACATTAAAACTATATTTGTTTTGCAAAAGAGCAATTTATGACTTATATTGTAAAGAGTCCCTCACAGAAAAGTTAATACATTTACAAATACATTTATTGGTTTTAGCAAGGCATAAATATGTATTTTCAAAAAAAAAAATAGCTTTGATAAGAACAAACCCAACCAACACACAAGAGTTATGAACATCAATATTCCAGCCCACATACAGCTTAGAGTTCTTTTAAAAGCGTATAAGAGTGTAGAAAAGAGGTTGTATACTTATAAGAGTCGTTTATTATACAGCTCAAGCTGTATAAAGTCTGTATAATGAGATCTAAGTAAGCTTAGGGTTCTTAATCAGAATATGAAAACTCTAGTATACAACTTTAAGTATTTTTTATAATTTTAATCAGATTTTATCATTAAAGTTGTACAGAAGCTGTTTTTTTTACATGCTCTCTTGCTTATACGGCTCTAAGTGTTATATAATAACACTACAAACAAACTCTCTTCTAAAACTTGTGCACTTTTGTAAATGCAGTAGTTTTATGACTTCTGTCTATGATATATAAAACTACAAAAAAATAACAGTCATAGTACAATGTAAATCTGTATGAGTGACCGAATATCACCTTTTTGCATGCGTTGCGTCAAAAAAAGATTATGTAAAAAGAAAAAGATTTACTGTAGTAAAAAGCTCATGTTAAATCTAAATTATATTTATCCAACACGTGTCTCTAAAGGGGATTATATGTTGTGTTGAAAAATCTGCTATGTAAGTAATAAAAAATCCTATTATAGAACTGATTAAAAACTAATGGCTGCATGATAGAATCCATAACATACATAGTATAGCTACTAAGACTATAACACCCTCGAAATACCGTTTAGGCTGTTTAGCAAATTGTCGCCATTTTAAGACCCATAAAAACAGAAACAGAAACTTTTTTTATTCAATATAGATTGTAAATATTACTTATTGAAAGTCACTCTTTTGTTTAATTACCACTGGTTCCAAAAAAGCCTCTGTCCTGGTAAGAACCAGCAAGAAACCCAGCGGGACTTTTTTTAAAAATAAGAGCTTACAATCATGTAATCACAATTAACCACACGAAACAGAATAGACATAGCTTGATAGCGATCACCTCATTCCCAGGGGTTATTATCATTCATAAATTCCTTAATATTATAATAACCCTTTTTATACAAACTTTGTTTAATAAAGTTTTTATAAAAAACAAATTATAAACTATAATTTTGGGAATATTAGATATTAGTCTAAGCCTATACTATTACATTCAGTTTGACTAATGATATCATTACAGCCTTTCATAAGTCCACTGCTTAACATAGGCCTCCCCCAAGGAATGCCACAAAGCACGGTCCTGAGCCACCTGCATCCATCGACTTCCTGCATGTCTTACCAGGTCGTCACTCCATCTCGTGGGGGGTCGCCCTACACTTCGCCTACCGGTACGAGCCTGCCACTCAAGAACCTTTCTTCCCCATCGGTTGTCGGTTCTTCGAGCTATATGGCCGGCCCACTGCCACTTCAGCTTATTAATCCGTTGGGCTATGTCGGTTACTCTGGTTCTACTGCGGATATACTAATTTCTAAGTTTATCACGCAGAGAAACCCCGAGCATAGCCCTCTCCATAACTCGTTGAGCGACCTTGAGCTTCCTCATACGGCCAGCAGTGAAGGACCCTGTCTTACACCTCTCTGCAATTGAATAGGTTTCGTACTCTGGTTCTGTACTCGGATAGCCATCGTAGCTCTACTGTACAAACACTTCAGCACTTCGATATACCGACAGTCAACTTGGCACCGCTGAAGGGACTGCAGCACCGCCCAAATTTCGACGGAATCAAAGGCTTTCTCATAGTCTACATACTCCAAATTGGCAAATTGTACTCCTCGGACCTCTGTACAATTTGCCTAAGGGTATGTATGTGGTCTATGGTGCTAAAGCCCTTTCGGAAACCGGCTTGTTCGGGAGGCTGGAAGTCGTCAAGTCTGCGCGCGAGACGATTCGTAATGAGTCTCAAAAACAGCACGTAGACGCGGCTCAGAAGGGAAATCGGTCTGTAGTTCTTCAAGAGAGTGTTGTCACCTTTCTTGAAGACCAAGACCACCGCACTTCTGCTCCAAGCCTCCGGTGTAACGCCACCATGGAGGACGGAATTAAAGAGCTTCTGAAGGACTTCAAGTATCGGTCTTCCACCCGCTTTCAGAAGCTTCTTTGTAATTCCATCCTCGCCTGGGGCCTTGCCGTTTTTAAGGTGCTGAAGAGCCATTCTAATCTCGCTCAGACTGACGTCCGGGATATCTTCGGAATAGTGTCGGATAAGACTCGCTCTTTGATCGTTACTCACACTTGCGTGTGGCTCCAACGATGACGTGTACAGCTGCCCATATAACTTCTCAATCTCACTCAAAATCTCAGGTGCCCCGGAAACGATGCTGCCACATTCGGTCTTCAGCTTTGACAGTTGGCTCTGACTTTGGATTAGAGCACGAGGGGGACGGAGCGTTCTTCATTAGACGAGACCTCTCAAACTTAACGTTTAGGTTCAGTGTGCCTCTAACCATTCGGTGATCGCTACCAGTTTTCACCCTCGCGATCACGGAGACATCACTGAACAGTTATCGTCTGGTCGTCATAATGAAGTCAATCTCATTTTTTTGTGGAACCGTCGGGGCTCGACCAGGTCCACTTCCTGTGGGGCCGCTTCTGGGAGAAAGAGTTCATCATAAAGATTCCCTCTTTCTCCATGAAGTCGGCCAGCTGCTGGCCCCTTGGGTTTCGTTGCCCTATTCCGAATTTCCCTACTTTCAGCTCACCGTTCTCTCTTGTGCCTAGTTTTGCGTTGAAATCTCCCATTAACACTGTATAGTGGGTTTTGGAGGAATGCATGGCTCTAGAGATATCCTCATATATTTCCTCCACCTCCTCATCGGGGTGTGCCGAGGTTGGTGCGTAAACCTGTATGACCTTCAGCGAATACCGTTTGGTGATTCTGAGTATAAGGTACGCAACCCTCTTTGACACACTCTCAATCTTTACAACGTTGTTAACGAGAGACTTGTGGACGATAAATCCGACACCTCCTTGGGACAGATGGTCGCCCTCCCGGTGATAGAGCAAATTGCCGGACTTAGGTGGCAACCGAACCTCCACCGGAGATTCTTAGCACCCCCTGCCCCGCCGTTACCATGGTCGCCACCGTAGCCAGGAATAGCGGGGCCGCCGGGGACTGGAGGCCGTTTCTTTGTTACTCTCATCATAGGGGGGGGGGGGGGTATTTGCCATAGTTGCCACGCTTGGCGAGCGAGTCGGCAACCGCAGTATTTTTATTGTAAGTTTGTTGTTATCAGGAAGATACTGCTGCCCATCTCCTGCCTGTTTCCCTTTGTCGCCTTTTACGACACCAACGGGAAGATATGGGGTAGTGGATATTCTTAACCGCCACTACACGGCAAATGACTAATGATAACTGAGCCCCAATGTGCCTTCATATTCATTAATTTAATATTTTTTTATTCTTACCCATACAACCGATATTTACCGTATTTAGTATTTTGTCCTTATATTATTTTGTTATTTTGCTGGCGCGCCAATTTTTTGATAGAAAACATATACAAGTTTACCGTAAATCTAATTTTGCACTTTCAATTCACCAATTATCACCGTCAAAACTCAACTCCAATCCGAATATAATATTAACATGTTAAATATATTATGTTAAGACATTAAATACCGCTATCATTCAATAAACATTTTTTTTTTGTTTTATATTCATTTATAATTCCGTTTAAAAACCAATTTAGAACGTTTCTATTTATAAGTTATATATTTTCCTTGCACACCGAATAACAGCTGTAATACAGCCTCTTATGCTTGTACAGCTCTACTAACGCATAAAGCTGCATAATTTGTACCAATTTTTTACTTATATGAACTGTATAAGTGCTTATACAGCTTTTGTACATCCAGACAATACAGCCTCCAGTATAAAAACGAACTCAATACAGCTCGTATACAGCTAGCGTATACTTCTTGGGAGGGTATTTGTATATGGTATTTGTTAAATACTAGGAACACACACTTGTAAATCCAGTTACTAGACTCCACAGAATTAGTAATTTGTTTAGTAATGTATACGTTTTTATAACAAAATCCCAGAAGTTTAACATTTGTCAATCAACAAGTTTGAAAATGTATTTTAGTTTGTTACTGGTTCTTATCAGGACAGAAGTATTATCCGAACCAGTGGTAAATAAAAAATTGACTTTCAATGAGTATTATGTAATTACTAATTTATATTGAAGAGAAATTATTATAATTTATTGTAAAGATTGTAAATGTTATTTTTCCAATTCAGTGATGGTCGGCCAGTAGCGGTTGTGTACTACAGATCAGGGTATGAACCAGCTCAGTACCCGTCTACTCGCGAGTGGGACGCAAGACTGCGGGTTGAAAGATCGACGTAAGTATCTTTCGTTAACGATTATAAGCTAGTGCTTGACTTCTATCCCACTTGATGGTAAATGGCGATGCAGCTGAAGATGGTAAAGCACACTGACTTAGCTAAACAAAAGCCTTTTAACTCTTGCCTTGAAGACAACCACATTGTATTTGTTCAAATTAACCTAAGTAAACCATTATATTATCATCATTCAAATATGGAACATCGCCGAATTTTTGTTTTTCTTTCATCATATCGTAGCTTCCTAAAACTAAGTGTGTAAAACTAAAAACACTATTTTAAGAAAAACACAGCATAAGGTTTCATGAAAACGTGCAATTTTTACATATTACGTTACTTTTGATAATATCTTCATCCAGATAAAGCTTTTGTTACATTCAGCTCGATGTCTTGCACTATTGTGAGACAGTACCGTTACTTTTGATAATATCTTTATGCAGATAATGCTTTGGTTACATTCAAATCGATGTCTTACATTATTGTGAGACAGTACCTAAGTTTTTCTATGATCAATAAGGCCCTTAGCCTTTAAACTTGTGAGAATCATGTTTATATTATTATAGTATAGTAATGCGCCTACTTAATATCTTTTCGTAGTCGAGTAAGGTCAGTTGTTAGCCACTTTCTGATGTCTTCTTTGCAAAACTTATCCCTATTGCTGAAGACAGTAGTTCTAAACTTGTTGAGCTATTTGGCCGACAAGTAAGAATTTTTTTTATAGGATCGGGTGACAAACGAGCACACAGTCCACCTGATGGTAAGTGGTTGCTGTGGCCCATAGACATCTACATTTATCCTCGTTTGCGAATCAAAATGCAGATGCGTTGTCACTAGTGAGGACTAAGATAGAATGTCTCTTTACCAGTAAAATGGGTCTCCGGTTCTCTACATTAACCATACGAAACACAGCAGTATTAAACTGCTATTTTACGCTGGTATTCTGTGAGAGCGTGGTCCTTCCCCGGTCGAGCCGACCCATTCGTGCTACAACTATACTACTAATATAGATGCAGCATGGCTCTACCACGTATGAAATAACGTATTTCGAGACCAAACCGCTATAACAGTCCAAAGATGACGTAGGACCGATCCTTCTTAGATTGGCAGTAGTTTAATATTAACGTTCTTAAATTGGTCTTACTTATATCGCTGGCCTCGTGTAGTTTGCAGTACAATACATCCACCTTAGAAACTTCAATATATACATCTGCGTGATAGATAGCTTGAAGTCTCAATATCGTCATAGTGGACCTGTTTGTTGTACCATTATTGGACGCTGGTAACAAGTTATTGATTGCGACAAAACTTTTTTTCCATTAACAGCGCTATTAAATGCCCCTCAATCCACTACCAACTCGCTGGAACGAAGAAGGTTCAACAGACTCTTGCTGCTCCCGGCGTCTTAGAAAAGTTCATGGGCAGTAGTGAAGCGACAAAGAAAGTTCGGGACATCTTCACTGGACTCTACTCATTGGACTTCGATGAGAGTGGAGAAAGAGCTGTGGATATGGCGCTCGCTGAAGCCGAGAGGTGAGAATCAGCCTACTTTTTTGATATTAGACTAATTTATTTAATAAGAGTATATTTATTTAATAATAATTATAATAATAACAGGCTACCTAGTAATTGGATATGGCATACCATAATCACATACAGCTCTCAAATAAAAAAAGCTACACATGCGTTGTTACTTCTAAAGACAGAGATGGAATGCTTTACAGTTTGTGATCACACTGGCTTTTTATCTTTTAAGTTGAAGCACAATGTACACAGTTGCTTGGTGACAGAAATAGGTAAGAGGTTGTTATCTAACTAGACTCATTCCTAGGCTGCGACTGCGAAAAGCAACAATTTCTTCTCACCACGATTATAATAGTGAGAATTTTTCGCCCATTACTGGACTAGACTTTTTGCTTATATCACAGTGGACAGACGGTTTTGTAAAATGCAGAGCCTTACCTTACCTTAGTACTGCTAATGCTGCGCTACAGCACCACTTTGTGGTATTTGGGTTTGACATTTTTAATTAGACTTTTTTAGAGACTTATCCCCTTACCCAGTGGGGCTGACATCTGGACGAAGCTCCCAACTATTTCACTTATAGGATAGGGTGATAAACTAGCATATAGTCCACCTGATGGTAATTGGTTGCTGTGACCCATAGACATCTAAAAAGGGTCTCCGGCACAGCAGCATTAAGGCGCTATTTTACGCTGGTATTCTGTGAAAACGTTATCCTTCCTTTCCCGGACAAGACGATCCCTTTGTGTTACAACTATAAATATCTGCCAGTCTACATGCGAGCTAAGTTCTGCAAAACCCGCCGCAGAAGAACACAAAAACTCTCCGATCACACTCTTAATTTCATGGCTGTTAGACGGGAAATAAAGCTGCAGTCTTCAATAGATTTGACAGCATACAGGCAACTGAACAGACAGATCTCCAAACATATGCGGCGAGACTTACGCAACTTCAATACAGCTCTTATTGAAGAAGTGATCGAGCGAAACCAGAGCTCCAAAGTCTTTGTTAAAGATCTGTCTGCCAGATAGAGCCAACAGAAAGAGCCAACTGACGAAGAAGACCGAGTATGGCAGCGTCTTTCTGGGACACCTGAGATTTTGAGTGAGATTGAGAGGTTCTATGGGCAGCTGTACACGTCATCGTTGGAGCCACACGCAAGTGCGAGTAACGATCCAAGAGCAACGATCTTATCCGACACTATTTCGATGATATTCCGGACGTGAGTCTGAGCGAGATTAGAATGGCTCTCCAGCACCTTAAAAACGGCAAGTCCCCGGGCGAGAGTGAAATTGCAGCGGAGCTTCTGAAAGCGGGTGGAAAACCGGTACTTCAAGTCCTTCAGAAGCTCTAATTCCGTACTCCATGGTGGCACCACACCATAGGCGTGGAGTAAAAGTGCAGTGGTCTTGTTCTTCAAGAAAAGAGACAACACTCTCTTGAAGAACTACAAACCAATTTTTCTCCTGAGCCGCGTCTACGTGCTGTTTTCGAGAGTCATTACGAATCGTCTCGCATGCAGATTCGACGATTTCTACCCTCCCAAACAAGCCGGTTATGTCTGGCATATGTGGACTATGAGAAAGTATTTGATTCCATCGAAATTTGAGCGGTACTGCAGTCCCTTCAGCGGTGCTAAGTTGGCTGTCGGTATATCGAAGTGCTGTGGTGTTTGTACAGTAGGGCTACAATGGCTATCCGAGTACAGAACCAGAGTACGAAACCTATCCAACTGCAGAAAGATGTAAGACAGGGTGACGTTATATCCCCAAAACTCTTCATCGCTGCATTGGGAGACGTTTCCAAGCTACTGAACTGGAAAGGATACGGTATTAACATCAATGGCGAGTACATCACTCACCTTCAATTTGCCGACTATTTAGTCCTTATGGCAGAATCGCTGGAGGACTTAAGCACCATGCTCAATGACCTCAATAGTGTCTCCCAACGAATAGGTCTTAGGATGAACATGGACAAAACAAAGATCATGTTTAATGTCCATGTCACACCTATGCCGGTAGTTGTTGGGAGCACTACGCTCGAAGTTGTTGACGAGTATGTTTACCTGGGACAAATAGTCCAACTAGGTAAGTCCAACTTCGACCGAGAGGTCAATGGACGGATTCAACTCAGCTGGGCAGCGTTCGGGAAATTACGGTACATCTTCTCGTCAGGTATATCTCAAAACTTGAAAACTATACTGTACAACCAGTGCGTGTTGCCAGTGATGACCTATGGAACTGAGACGTGGTCCTATGAGGCCGTATGAGGAAGCTCGAGGACGATAAGCGAGCTATGGAAAGAGCTATGCACGGGGTTTCTCTGCGTAATAAACTTAGAAATTGGGATATCCGCCGTAGAACCAGAGTGACCGACATAGCCCAACGGATTAGTAAGCTGAAGGGGCAATGGGCCGGCCATATAGCTCAAAGAACCGACAATCGATGGGGAAAAATTTTCTCGAGTGGCGGCCTTGTACCGGCGGACGAAGTGTAGGGAGTTCCCCCACTAGATGGAGTGACGACCTGATAAGATATGCATGAAGTCAATGGATGCAGGAGGTGGCTCAGGACCGTGCTTTGTGGCATTCCTTGGGGGAGGCCTATGTTCGGTAGTGGGCTTGTTAAGGGCTGTAATAATGATGATGATGATTCTGCCGTCTATTGGCGGCGATAATATTTTACGTGCTACGAGATTCTGGATATTTATGTTACATTCATTTAACTTAGCTCATTAATAAATAATGATGTAATAGTGGATTTGGATCTTCACGACAACCTATGAACATTGTTGGAGTCTAAACTACTAATAAAGCAAGTACTACAGTTACTTAATAGCAGGCTAGGATGCACTGTTGGATAATCTGTTTCTTTAACCGTTGTCAGCTATATTCAACACTAAACTGAGTAGCAATATCCAGCTGTATATACTATAGGACTCTTCTATAAAGCCCCATATGCAGCAATGGCATTTTTATTGCTAAAATAGATTATGGCAGCTCGAAAAAAAGAAGAGGGTTTCCCATAATCGTCCTTTTTTATAGAATAAGGCTAATAAACGAGCACACAGTTCACCTGATGGTAAGTAGATGCTGTGTCTCATAGACGTCCTCCTTATCAGGTGAATATATAATCGCGGTACCAGACTTCTCACACTTTTGACGTTACTGCCCGCCATCTATTGGAAACCATGAGATCTTTGTGGCTTTTATTGTGGACAAGACACGGGATGAAATAGATCGATAGGTCTCTTGTGCTGTCACCACAGGGCGTCCACTTTACGAGTATATGGATAATACATTTCTTTAAATAAGTGTGACAAACGAGTACACAGTCCGCCTGATGGTAAATGAATGCTGTGGCCCATATACATCTTCATTTTTATCCTCAATTAAGAATTAAAATTCAGATGAGTTGTCACCCCCTGAGGACTGAGATGGAGTGCCTCGTTTCCAGTAAAAAGGCTCTCCGGTTTTTTACACTCACCGTATGAAACACAGCAGCATTAAGCTGCTATTTTACGCTGGTATTCTGTGAGATCGTGGTCATACCTCGGTCGAGCTAACTCATTCGTGCTAAAACCACAATATAACTGTAGTGTGACTTTAGCATGTATGACATTTGTAGGTTCGTTCTGAAGCCTCAGCGTGAGGGCGGGGGCAACAACTTGTACGGCGCGGAGGTGCGCGAGGCGCTGCTGCGCATGCGCCACAGCCGCGAGCGCGCCGCCTACATACTCATGGAGCGCATACTGCCGCCGCTGGTAAGCCCCCACCACTGACCCCCCACACACACACACACACACTAACACCCCCCCCCCAACAGGGCTAGGGACTTATGGAGCGCATACTGCCGCCGCTGGTAAGCCCCCTACCACTGACCCCCCACACACACACACTGACACCCCCCCCCCCCAACAGGGCTAGGGACTCATGGAGCGCATACTGCCGTTGCTGGTAAGCCCCCTACCACCGACCCCCCACACACACACACACACACTGACACCCCACCCCCCCAACAGGGCTAAGGACTTATGGAGCGCATACTGCCGCCGCTGGTAAGCCCCCACCACTGACCCCCCCCCCCCCCCCCACATACACACTGACACCCCCCCAACAGGGCTAGCGTCTCATGGAGCGCATATTGCCGCCGCTGGTAAGCCCCCCCCCCCCCACTGACCCGCCCACACACTCACTGACATCCCCACTCATACTGAGCTAGGGACTCGTGGAGCGCATACTGCCGCCGCTGGTAAGCCCCCACCACTGACATCCCCCCCCCCCCCCACACACACACACAACTAGGGACTCGTGGAGCGCATACTGCCGCCGCTGTTAAGCCCCCACCACTGACACCCCCCACACACTGATCTAGGGACTCATGGAGCGGCTACTACCGCCGCTGGTGAGACTCTCATCACTGGACCCCTCCCCCCCCCCACCTCCCTATGGTATGATAAATAAGCGAACAATATACCGACGAAATTCTCCACTTGCAACAAAGTACGAAGTGTCGTCTTTCAGGTTTCCGGCTACGTGGTACGTCCGGGCGCTCCAGTGCCGCCACCCGTAAGTGACCTTGTTTCTGAGCTGGGAATCTTTGGAGTTATTATTGGGTAAGTTTGTCTATCAAACCCTTTTTTATTATTTTTACATAATATTTTCATCATCATCGTCATCACCATCATTACAGTCCCTCACAAGTCAACGGTTATAACTAACAGCTTATGAAAGTACACGGACGAACATAGTCATGCCAACATAGATCTCAAAGTGGGGATATATGTCATAGTTCCACGCTTGGCTATACAAGTTTTTTTTTTGTGTTATTATCAACGAAAATGCTGCCGCCCATCTCCTCTTTCAGTATACCGCCGTCGTTCAAGACACAAAATGATTTGGGTTAAAAAATGTTTATGTTAATTTTGCATTAACAATTTTGTTTGCGCCTATTTATGTATGTTACCTATTTCTGCTGCCAAACAACAACACATCAACTGCTGTATTCCAGTACGAAGGGAAATATAACCAGTATAATTACAAGTTGTGAGACATTTCATCTTAGTACACCTTAAGTAATCAAATCAAACATTAAGACATTTTATTTAGAGGTGACAGCGCATCTGTAGCGTTCTCTATTAGAAGTTACTTGCAGGAGTCCATGGTCTACAGCAGGGATCCCCAAACTATTTTTGGGAAAGAGGCCCCTTTTCCAAAATGAACTGATACTTCAGACCCCCAAAGTACTTTAAAAACTTTACGGTAGGTTAAAGTAAACTTGTGAGTAAACTTGACATCATTTTCATATCAAAATTTAACAAAATAAATAGACATAAAATCCAGTAAATATCAAGTGCAATTAATAATTATTAATAAAAATTACGTAAAAGTACTTAAATAGATACATGTAACACAACTTATACAGTATCTTCAGTTTCATATAAGAACTTTGTTAATTAATAGGGGTCGATTTTAAACCTCGTCGACTTCCAAAATAGATTTTCGTTTATGTTGACCCCTGGGTAACCGATTTCGACCCCAAGGGGTCGATATTGACCACTTTGGAAATCCCTGGTTTACAGTAATAATGGACTCTTACATTGTTTATCTTACTAAACAAGTGATTGTTCTATTTCTCTATTTAGGACAAAAGATAAAATCCACTGCAATCGACAAGTGGGTCACATGCTGAGGACCAAACTTGCAGACGCCAACGAGGGCGGAGTCGCCGCCGGCCTAGGGGCTTTGGACTCGCCCTACATGCTAGATTTGTAGCCACAACTTGTCCAAACAATACACATAAATCCCTTAAATTAATTTGTCAGTTTAAAATGAGTCTATTTGACTTTTTAAGCTGTCAAACTAATTGAAAAATATCTGAGGGAAAGAGTATTTTTATATAAAATTTGTTAATTAAAATTATATATATTTGTAATTGAAGAATTGACCACACCAATCGATCGATGATAGAATGAATTAGTCGACGTCGTTCAAGCTGCTTGATTGTTCGTAAATCTGTCCCGCTTCACTGACCGCATTTTGAAAGATACTGATAACCCACGACCACATCGATTAATTGTTAATCAACGTCGATCGATGCTAGCTAAAGCTACCACACCAATCGATCGACATCGATCGACGTCGATCAAGTGCATCGACCGACGATCGATCGATTGGTGTGCTAACACTAGAACTTAACACTTAAAAGACGCTAGACTTGAAATTAGAAAATTACAGAGAATTATTCATTTATTGCTTGAAAATGGCTCATGAATTTTGCATTAAATTTCTATCGTTCTTTAATTTATATCATATAGCAATTATTTAGAAATTAAACATTTTAAAACGAAAGTTTTTATAAACTTCTATTTTATATATATGTTATGGAGTAATGTTAAACCAACCTTTTACTTTTAAGACAAAATCAATAAATTATAATAATAACAGTGCAAATAACTCCACTAATCTTGCCCCTAATGACATAATTTGTATGTTTACGCTATTTTTTAAATCGGTTTATCTCTAGTATGTTTAGTATAATATTTTACATTTTATTGGTTAACTAAACAGTAAAAATTGCAATTTTATCTTTTTTATTTCAATTTATTAATTATTAATTTCCGTTTTATTATATCTGCGCCAATAAAGAAACAAACGGTGGGGTTAGTCAAGTTGACTTTCTACAATTATTAACGCTACTAGAAAACAATAACTAGCAATAACATTGTTTTTAATATACCACGTTTTTTCATATTCTTACTTGTCATCCGATTCTGACCTATGTCCAAAATTTAAGGTATTTAGCTGAATATGAAGCTAGTTTAAAGTCAATCTAACGTGGTAAAATGACTTAAATTGAAAATTTTAAAAACCCCCGAAACAAAGAAAGCCGATCTTTAAAAGTCTGAAAAGTTTTTCTTGAATCGTAGCTAAGAACATTCTCCATCAAGTCACATTTCAAACAAAAAAAAACTAAATCTAAATCGGTTCGTCCAGTTTGAGAGCTCCGATGCCACACACAGGCACACATACACATGTTAAACATACAACACCCCTCTGCATTGGGGGTTAAAAAATAGCAATGACACATAATATCTCAAATGTTATTCATTTTATAGTTTTCTTCTAACATTAATATTGTAGAAAGTGAACTTTTCGAACCCTGCAAGTCAGACGGCCAGCGAAAATGTTAATTTATCATATTTTTATAATTTAATGTTTTTAGGTAACCTATGCATATATTTTTTTACTTCTGTCTGTAGGTCCTCAATACGTTCCTTTACACCTTTCAGAAGATTTTATTTTCGTGCTTGTATTTTAACAGCGTAACTAAAAATCCGAAAGGTAGAAAATAAAATTTATTGATAACGATTAAAAAAAGCAACAGGAATAATTATTAATTTAATTTAAATTATAGCAATAAATAGAATAGTGATTAACGTGTTAGAATAAAGAAGGAAGAGGTGCTGCTATTTTAGATTCTTTATATTATTGGCGCCATTTTTATTTACTTGACAATTAAATTTTCTGTTTGTCTATCCGACCGTGATTAAAGGACTTGGTATTAGATATATAAAAATGTTAAAAGTTTGTATATGTAATAATTTTAGTTCTTAAATCTTGTAAATGCTACGGTTCAATCTGGCGATTCTAAATAAAAAGGTGAAACTAAGCACAAAATATTTTTAAATGTATACCTTTTTACCAGTGAATTATAAATAACGCCATCTTGTTTGTTATTAGTTAGTTGTTATTTAGTTACAATTTTATTTTTATTTATAAATAATGTTTCTCTTTAGTCGAATGTTGCAAATCAATTTGATTGTGAAATTATGGTGTATTGCTTGTTGTCGGTAATAATTAAATGTATATTTATTTTTTTTACATTCCACTTTAATAATTCCTAATTAATATAGACATCGGCATGAGTTTTGAACGCTGGACAGTTTATTGGGGCTAAATCGTGCGTATTCGTTTTTTAACCAATCGAGCCATACTTCAAAATATAGTGGTGTTTGTACCATTGGCTGAACTTGCAACGAATTAACTTAAAAGTAAAATATATGTATCACCCCCAAAACGAGCCTGAAACATTTACTGTATAACAGAGTTCTGATCTAAACCGTGCCGCTTTCTTTATGTTGTTGTTTTTTGCATCTACTAATAACGTTTTTTTTTTTCTTTAAACTGATACTTTGTTATTGTTAAAAATGATTATACATAAAAGTTTCTAAGCGATTTTTAATCTGTGTACTCCTAAAATTATTACAGAGGTACTGTATAATGTTTGGTATATCATGATGGTTTTTTACTTTCTGAAAAAAATGGAGAAACTAAAATGTTGTTTTATTATTTACAATCCTTTATAGTAGACATGTGTCAATCGTGAATGATTCGTTCATGTGCCACGGGTCGCATCAAAGTATTGATGATTGCAAGCGTTCCGGGTCAAACTTAACAGGACCTACGACGATAGAGTATAAGTAGTAATTTCCGACGACCGTCATGTTTATGCCCAAATTTGGTCATTTTGAATGCCATCCAATTGCGTTCGAGCTGGCGCGTCACCCGATGGTATGTAGGTGAGATAAACGCCGCCAGGTAGGGCGGCTTGTGTGGCTCGACGCGTGGGCGAAGAAGGAGTAGTTTGCTGGCCGCGATGCGGTGAAGCCGCCTATCTAGGTTATCGCGGCCGAAGTTGACGCTATCGTGTAGGGTCCAGATAGTGTTTTTAGTGCGTGTTACTTCGCTACGTCGAGTAGATATACGATCTAGGATTCGAACCGCGCATTCCTTGGTCGAGAGCGTCTCCCAGTTGATTGTCTGGAAATCATTATAATTGTGCCGTCGCGTTAAGTGTAAGTTTTGTGTGTTGGTTGGTTTGTTAGTTTACGTGTCAACGAGGCGTATTTTGAATTATTTTCGCGACGTGGTGTTTTGGTGTCGAATGAAGGAACTTAGTTGTGTTTAACGCTGAACCGTATGACTCATTAAGAGATCGTTTATAATTTTGTGATAAGTGAATCCGGGACATTGAATGTCGAATTTTGAACTACTGTCCTTACTGTGTTCGATTCTACGATGAATGTGGAATTAGGCGAGTTTAAGTTAGTTAAATGTACAATGAAGCTAATAGACTGAAATAGTGACAATGAAGAAAGAAATGGTCCAGCGGTGGAGCCTGCTGGAGCGATGCAGCATTGTGGGGCAGCCTGGAACTCGGCCGCTGCTGGTCGCCTAAGCTGGTCCAGGTCTCAGACATTTACACATCACTAAACACTACTTGCCATGCACCTCACACCCACTTACGGCCTGACCGAGCCTTGGGGCGACCTAAGAGTCGGAAACAGGTACGTACTATATTTCCCTAGTCTTCTCCCATATAGCTTAGTATTATAGAAATTCTTCCATATGGCCATTGGGCCCGACCCGCGTCTGCCCGTCGAAGAAGCTGCTATGGGCCCCAGCCAAGACGACCTTTGCAGGGGCAGCTGTAGGCCGTAACAGTCATTATCGGTTTTTTTAACTGGCTTTACGGCTCTGGGTTCTAGCCCTTCTGAGCCTGAAGTTACAATGTATAATTATTCTTCATAGTACACTGCTTCACAATCTGTTGATGCGTCACAATGTGCAGCCCCTGGGAGATTTTGACGGTAACTTGAACCAGCAGACAGCTGACAGTCGGCGATGGTATCTCAATGCGCCTAAGCAGACAGAAACCTTATCTTGAGAACCACATCATCATCAGAGCACTTGTTTCACCGTTTCCCCTAATAGTTCACATGCGCAGACACTTACACAAAATCGCACCACTTTTACATATTAAAATCCACTTCAAACCATTATTTAAACAATAATACAGGAGCAGCAAACCGCCACCGGTCAAGTTCCTGCCAAAACTCCCGATCATGGAGTATAGAGTAGAAGGAGGACCATCTCTGTATATGAAAAGTGTCCGTAAAAACGAGTCCAATAAGGGTGGCGCTGCGGTAGCATAGGATAAATTTTAAAAAAAGCGCCAAAAGTAATTAGAATAAGATGGAGAAATAAACAAGGACCGACCAATACGCTTGGTTTTGTACTACGTAAATAGTTGAGGTTTTGTATACTGACATTTTACTAACTACTCTAGTCATGAAATTTTATAAATATTTTAATTCAGCTGACTTCACTCCGTCTACAACAGCTATATTCATATCGTAGTTTTTCAGACGACAGCGCTATTGTGGTAGGTTTTGGAACCTCTATTTTCAGTATATATTGGGACACTTTTTCAACTTTCGCACCTTATAAGATGGTTCTCCTTCTACTCTACACCATACTCCCGATATTATCGGGCGGGGCTCAGATCACAGAGTATAGAAACTAAATGATCCATTTGAACGATCGACCCAAATGACCCGGTTCGTAAGACTAATCAATCAATACTTGAATGATCGGGTCACTAGAAATGAATCAATGTCTACCTTTTTTCACCTTCAGAATTTATCTATTGTCATTACATTCATGGGATAAAATGGGGCGATGGGTTCTCTTACCCTACCTCCCCGCGGTAAACAAGACAAGTTATTAGAAATATTACATATATGTATACAATAAAAGTAATAAAGTGTCCGCCGCACTGTGCTTCAAATTAAATATCCATATTTTTTTTCAGGCGAAGATTTTTTGACTAAGTATTTCCATTACCGCCGAGAACGAAGTAAATCAGTACTTGAAATTGCAATTAACAATATGAGTGGTGCAGGTGGAAATCAAACCCATAATATAAACCATATAAGTTATTAAAGAAATGGTAATTTTTTATTTTATTTGAATCAATGTTTTGCTATTAAATGTACTAATAATAATGTTCTCCATACCGAAATTCCGGAGACTAGCCAATTGCGTAGAATAAGATTATAGTAACTATGGTCAACTTATTTTTATAATAAAAATGAGTGTGTTATATTAAGATTTTTATTTAAATATTCTCAACTGTAACAATCTACAAGGTTGTTCTTCCTTTCTAAACATATTCATAGTACTTGGGGATCTTGTTCTTGGTAAAAAGTCCAGATTCTTTCTTGGTGTAACCTTCCATGAATTCAAATTCGGGATGCCCATAGATAACCTGAAAATATTAATTGAGTGTTAATAATTAATAGTCCATACGAGGGCTCGGTCACTTGCTCTTTATTTCCCTCTATTTATTAAAAATATTTATACGATGTCGAATATTTTTAACCATAAAGTTTAATAAATAACAAAGTTTTAAGAAAGAAATATATAATTAAATTAAATTTCAGTCTCAAGTACATATTTTATTTTATACATGTCTTGTAATTACAACCCTAACGCATTTGTTCGACACGCGGTAGTAGAAAGGTTACTATGCTATGTCAACAGTAGGTATGTGTGTCTATGGTTCATTTCTCGAAACTGAACAAATGACATTTAACTGTTTTTTTTTTTTAATTTATATTCTAACTTAATAATAATAGCCTACTATTATAGCGTAAGCATTTTCGTTTTATAAAGGAGTGAAGTAACTGTTACGTAGTAACTTAGCACAGTTTAAAGAAAGTATAACAGTTGTGAAACGAATGTACTTGTGCAGAGCAATGGGGCCTTGTGGGGCAGGAACTTCATTACTTAACTTAGTCTTCTGCATCAATACATACTATTGACGCGAGCGTATTTTAAAGTATTTATTTAACTTAGTTTAAGTGCAGTTTTCGTAAAATATAAAATATATGATGAATTACTAATATATTTATGAGTCATTAAATGAGGCGCGGTCGCAGCTTGAAATTTTGGAGGAGGTCATTAATAATAAAATATGTTGCGTAAATTAGACTTTATTGCACAATATACAATTTTATTGCATACATTATAAAAAAGATTGAAGTCTTCTATTTTTATGGCAAATCGGGTGATAATATTTGAGACGTCTGGTCGCTATCTCTGGATGAATATTTACATGAGCTAAACATGTCAGCCTCTCTTCCTAACATGTTTGCTCTCAACCAAGTTTTTACACGCCTTAGCGTAGAAAATGATCTCTCTGATGTCGCACCGCTTAAAGGAAGAGTTGCCAGAATTTTCAGCAAGGTCTTTATATTTGGGTAGAGAACATCGTCGCAAACTCCAATTGTAGAAACCACACAGGAAATTTTGTATCAGTATTTTGTTTGAGCTCCCGTTTCCAGTTTGAAATCTATAGCTGATAGTCTGTAACGAGAGTGGCAGCAGGAACACTCAAGAAATGGGAATAACATTCTGATACTTTCTTCACTTTAAGAAGATCTTCTTCTGTATATTCAGATTTTGGCGTAAAAATGCTTAAAGGCTCGATGACAGTGGGCTAGTTTACGAGCGGCTAGTCGGTGAGTTTAAGAGCTAGCGAGTGAGCGAGTAAGCGAGTGTCAATGACACAAAAAGCTTTCCACTCTCTCAGTAGCGAACTAGCTAGCTAGCTAATATCAAATTTGGAACTCTTCAGCCTCAACATATTTTTATAGGCCAAAGGATCTTGGTCCTTCAACTCTCAATAAACCACTGGAAGCACCATATTCATCGCGTTTTTCTATCCACAGTCTTACCCATTTTCTTTTCTATTTCAAGTTTTTCTTTAGTTTTCGTTGTAAATCGTTCTTGATAACATGAGATAAAAGAACTACTCACACGTGAACTACTTCCTTTGACATTTTAGCTTAAACTGCCAAAACGAAAAGATGCTCCCAACTAGTTCAACAGCAACGATGATGACACACAGCTAGTTAACTAGCTTACAGGCCAACACGTCAGCGAATGGCGAGTAAATTAGCCCGGCTTTCTATTTTTCAAGCAGCTTTTTTACAATCGGATTCTCAAAACCATATTGTAAAAAAGCTCAATGACACAGAGAGAGTTTACAAGCTACTCGCGAACTCGATGGCTTGTAGCTTGTAAACTAGCCCAGTGTCATCGAGCCTTAAGCATGTGCCTTGTATCCGCAGAAAGTCGGTCCTGCAGGTCAGTCATTATGCTATCTATCAGTGGAATATAAGCAGTCCTCCGAAAATATTATCATTTCCTTGGTAATTATCATGAAGTCTGTCAGTAATTTTTAAAAGATTTTTCAATTTGACGTGTACGATTTTGGGGAAGGGGGTCATGGTCCCATGTGACCCTCCACTTCGGAACGCGCCTTCATTAAATAAAGATGAATTCAAATCACGGCCATTATTTTGTTTCTCTAAATTATTTATATTTGAAATTGATCATCCTAATTTGAGTACATTACATAATAAATTTTAACAATCGAAAACTGAAAACATCTACATCAATAAAAGGAAATTGTCACGGAAATATTTGGCAAGGCAACACCAGTAAATGTAATTTAACCTATAAGTACGTACATAATAATACGTTACGTACGTAAATAAATGATGACGAGTATAACAAAATTATTTTTTCCCAATTTTGTGACAACCCTAGCATATTTGCGCAGGACGGCATAAATAGTAAGTACTACACGGACGGCGGCATCGGCTGACATCAAAGGCGTGTCTAAATTGTTATACTGTCTTTAAACTGTACTATTAGTTAATCTGTGCCCATGCAAAATGCAGTTATATTATGGTTGTAGCACAAATGTGTCGACTCAACCGGGAAAGGATCACACTATCACATAATACCAGCACAGTTGACTGTCTCGTTGGTCTAGTGGTTGTAGTAGTGCGACTGCTGATCATGAGGTCCTGGGTTCGAATCCCGAGTCGGGCCAAAAAAATCAGTTATTGAGTTTTTCCATCAAGAAATTCTCAGTAGCTGCCCCGGGTCAGGAAATTGGCGGTGTCTCACCCCCGTGCCTCGGAAAGCACGTAAAGCCGTTGGTCCTGACCCTGATCTCTCTCCGGTCGTGTCAGTGAGGGAATAGAGTGCACCTGTGCTTGCGCATACACTTGTGCACTATAATCCTGTCCTGAGTTGAGACTGGCCGCCGTGACCGAAATTCGGTCTGGAGGACATTATTATTATTAGAATACCAGCGTAAAGTAGCAGCTCAATGCTGCTGTGTTTTGTATGGTGAGTGTAGAGAACTGGAGACTTGTTTTACTGGAAAAAGGCATTTCATCTATCTATTAGTCCTCAGGGGTGATTCTTAATCGAGGACAGATGTAGATGTGTATGGGCCACAGCATACACTTACCATCAGGTGTGCTCATTCGTCACCCTTATTCTATAAAAAAGAAAAGAAGAGACGGCCAGCAGAGTCAAATGTGTGGAATGTCTGGTACAACTATTGTCAATCTGCCTACTGTTGCAAAACTTGAGTATTAAGACAAATCCTTCCTACAATGGGAGATGCCCATGCCCAGGAGTGGATTATTACAGACTGATAAAAAAGAAAGGAAGATATTGTTACATTGTTGGAGCGTTGCTAGCTCATGTACCACGACAGTTATATTAAGTGAAAAAAAAAAAACTATCGGGGGATATTTGCCAAAGTTGCCACACTTGGTAGGTTGGTTCACAACAGACGTTTTATATTTTAGTTATTAGGAAGATGCTGCTGGTCATCTCTTGATTTGTTTCCCTCGGTCACCTCTTATGGCACCCACGCGACGGTATAAGATAGTGAATATTCCCACACCGCCACTACTCAGTCAAAATAGCAAAAAATATAAAATAATATGAAAATACCTGCTCCCTCGCATAAGCGTCTTCAGCACTGGTAATCAGCTCCGGTACGTCGAGACGTGGAATTCCGAACAGGTTCATGAGGTAGTGCTTGCTGTTGGTGTACAGCTTTCTCTGGTCCGCCCACTCAGCTTCACGAGGAATCCTCCAATCTTTCATCTTGGGTTCTTCGCGCTCCGTGTACTGTTCAAAGTTCAGGCGCTCAATGTCCTCTACAACCTGTAATTATATAGGAACATTATTTATCATGCAAGTAAAGTCCACTTAGGTAAGTGAATGCCGTAGCTCAAGGCCTCCTAGATCAATCTCCGATTAAGAATCAAAAAGTAAATTTGCTGCCACCCCTAAGGATTAAGACGAAAGGCTTCATTAGCTAACTAACAGTAAAAAAATTGTGTGCATAATGAGGGCTAATAATTTTCTGCTCACTAGATGTCGCTAGTTGACACTGAGGTAAAGATTTTGTTACACAGTGTAATTTAATTGAGAAGTTGTTTTTTAATAAAAGTTTATCAGTTTCTAGATCTAGAGTTAATGCACATAACAATGCATCTATGGTTTGCTCTTTAATTTTTTGCACATCTTTAACTTTTTTTTTAATTTTTCTACTTTTATGAATATCTGTGGTTTGGTTTATTTATATTCAATGTTATTAATATAAAATATAGCTAATAGTACAAAAAGAAACAATAAATTTTAGACTTTCCGAACAAATTAACTTCCCTACTATGAAATCTGTCAAATATTATACCTCACTTTCTAATGGCGCCGCCCTGGTGGCAGAAAAAGTCGTGGATGCCCTCATTGTGTACACACGTACGAGTTGAAACTTTTTTACGACATACAATCCTTCTTTTATTTTATTGGCGGATTTTCGAATGATACAAACACCGTTGCTGAATCAGTCGCAGATATTTAGATGTAGCATGGTGATTGTTGCTCAAGACACGCCACATTAAACCGAAAACAATTCCTTTAGGCCATGTTAAAAAATTCCTTGTACATACTATCAACCAATATGCACAGCATTGGATAAGCTTTGCCGGCCTATACTCAATATAGATTTGTCAGTAATCAGCAATAAATAATATACCAATAAGTTCTTGATAATATATTAATCTAAATGTAAACTGACTTTTAACAAAGACATACCACTTCAACCTCACCACCACCACTCCAGTCATACACCAATAGCTCAGCATGGGTGGAGATATCACGTAGATACTTTGTCTTATACTGACGTTCAACCTCTGTCAGAAACTCTGGGGTCAGAGCTTTACCGTTCACCTCATGTTCCAAATTGCGGCACTTAATCGCTTCCATTACCTGAAATAAAATTACATCACTATTACTATAATTGTAACTCTCGCCATGAGGGGTATATAATTGTAGAAAAGTTCTCGAGTGTCTACCTCGTACCGGAAGACAGAAATTAACCTGCAGTCTTCCAACAGATATAAAAGCAACAAGCAATTTCCGTGACATCTGAGATTTTTCCTACACGTCCATCAACAGACAAATTGGCGAATATATCCAGGCACCGCACATTTAAGAAGCTGGTGCTTTAGCTTTACTCACCAGTCTGGGTATTTCAGAAATGGTTATTCTGGTGCTTGCTAAAACTAAGAGGATTTTCCATTATTCAATAGATTCTCAAATGTTACTGCCAAATAATGGTAAATTATAAAGGTTGACGCTACGTTAAACACTATAAATGACACAGTCAACTCTATGTAGCGTTTACTTATCGTATAAAAAAAATTGATTGAATATATTCAGTAGTTTTACCCGCAAGAAATATATTTCAGTTTAGTAATTTTGAACACAATGCAAATAAATCATTTTTCAGGAGTGGAATGTCAACAGGGGATCAATAAATTGTGCCAAAAGCAAAATAAAGAAAAAGACATTTCTATTTAATGTTCTATCCAGACTTACATAGACGGGTGGCCACAGGAAAATAAACTAAGATATATTAAAGTTGATAAAATATAATATAATATATACATAGATAATATAATTTAAATTTATTGATGCAAAATTTGACTCGTAATAATAATTTAAATTTGACATTTAATTGTAAGAATAATAATGATAAATTTCATTTGATTGATATTAATAATTTAATTAAGAAGTTTTTGACAAGAGATAGGTATTACCTATATATATATATATATATATATATATATATATATATATATATATATATATATAGCAAATGTACTATCTTATTATTTATATTTTAACTTAGCCAAGGATTTGGCTACACAGACATCTGCTTCTATTGAGCAGCATAATGACTTTATATTGAATTTGGAATCACATCCAAGTAATTTAAATTAGAAAATGAGACACTAGAGGTAACCTCCAGCAATCATAGTAACTATTTAAATTATCTAGAATGTAGCCCACAAATAGCTAATTGTATAATCTCTCATAAAAACAATCATAAAAATTGTATACACCTGGTGCATTAAAATATGCAAGACATGTTGAGCAAAGAATTAGAAATTGAACTGTTTTTAAATAATAACAACATATATATTTTTTGTATAACTGAACATTGGTTAAAAGATTATAACTATAGTATGTTTAATTTCAGTAAACACCAGGTGGTCAGTTGTTTTAACAGAGAAAAAAATTACGCGGTGGTTCCTTAATATTAGCTAATAAATTAGTAAAGAACGTAAGGACATTGCGAGCCTCTCAGTTGAGCGAACAGTAGAAATGTCATGTGTTGAGTTCGAGCACTTCATTGTTGTCAGTGTTTACAGAACCCCACATTCTATATATGATTGTTTTGAAAAAATTATGTAGGAAGTTTTGTAATAGTAATCTTAATAAACAGAATAAATCTGTTGTTGTATGTGGAGACTAATATCAATCTCCTTGAAACTTCTTCCATGAATTTTAAGTTTAGATCATTGCTCAAATCATACAAGCTTGTTAATTTGTTCTTTGGGCCAACACGTATTGCAGGGCCTAGTGCAACTTGTATAGATAATATTTTTACTGATGTTGAGCCCAGTAAAAATACATAAATTTTACATAAATTAATTATCAAAAATTTAGGTTTAGATAATATTTTTACTGATGTTGAGCCCAGTAAAAATACATAAATTTTACATAAATTAATTATCAAAAATTTAGGTTCTGATCACTGTAGACAGTTAGTTTCGCTACCTTACATGCACAAAAAACATAAAGTTAAGACAGTTGTGCTTGTTCCAATAAATGAACATCACTTAGAGATTTAGAAGTAGTATAGTGAAAAAACTGCCTTTTCTTCCATATAAAAACAATACTAATTATTTATATGGATCATTATTTAAACTAATAAGTCTTGAATTTAATAAAACATTTACTTCTAAAACACTCTCTTTAAAAAGTCGGAAATCGTTTAATGAGTGGGCGACAGTAGGAATCCATAGGAGTAGACAAAAGTTATTATTAGTAAAAATAATATTCCAAAATCTAGTCTTTATATTTAAGAAACAAAATTAAGAATGCCTCTAATAAAATTAAAATGACTTGGTAGTATAATCAATAGTGAAACTGGCAAGATGAAACTAAACAACTCATACTTTCAATTAAATTTTAACAATAATTTGACAAAATCAGATCAAGACGGTGCAACGGCTTATAAGTAACAATATTTTACCGAAATTCCGATCTTGACTACAAAGTGACTCAAATCCTCCCCTGATGTTGCAGAGTCATTACTCAAACAAAATGTAAATGTCTATAAAAAATAATTTGCATTTCAAGGAATATTATCAGGTTGTCAAATATTTCAAAACTATTAATGTTAAGAAAACAGCAGATCTATGGGGGATTTCTGTTAAAGTTATTGCGTCTCTAATTGAAGCGATTGCACTTGCTATTATTTTTAATGCTAGTATCGAATCTGGTGTGTTTTCTGATTTAATGAAACATAATAAAGTTATACCTTTATTTAAATCTGGCACTACATTGGACCCCACTAACTTTAGACCTATTTCTGTACTGCCAATGTTCAGTTAAGTTTTTGAAAAAATTATTCTAGATCAAATGTTAAGTTTTTTTATTTTTTAATGTAAATAAATTACTCCATAACAATCAGTTTGGATTTACAAAGGAGCACTCGACAACTGACCCCGGTGTTGAGCTAATCATACAGATTTCGATATTTACTGAGCATGGGAAAATTCAGAAGATGCTTTGTGATCTTTCCAAGGCTTTCGACTGTGTTCACCGTGAGACATTATTCAGGAAGCTACATCATTATGGTGTAAAAAACATAGCGCTTAAACTTATTATGTCTTATCTAAATAATAGAATGCAAACAGCTATTATTAATGGATGCAGTTCTTCCAGATCGGTAGTATCTATGGGTGTTCCTTAGGACTCAGTTCTTGGTCCCTTTCTGTTCTTAGTTTATAGTAATGACTTACCTTACTTGGTATGGAATATAACCATGATAGAGACAAACAAGCAAACAATCACGACTTAGCTGCTCTTAAAGGTAAGTACTTTAACCACTCAGGCCTTGACATTAACCACCACTAACTAAGACAAGCCTATGGTCAAGCAAAAGAGTATAGTAGGTGAAGCCAAAGACAATTTTTTAAATGAAGGTAAATACAACTTAAGAGTATGTTGTGTTCTTATCCAAAAATAAAAAAAAATTATCAATAATTAAAATATCACATTATTTGTATGAATGTCAAGTGAGCGCTAGAGAAACGACGGTTGCAAGACGTTTTCCTTAAGTAAAATGTTTTGAGAAGTTATCAATTACCGTGTAGTGGCGCATCCCGTAGGTCTCGTAAAAGGCAACTAGAGTGACAGAAAAGTGTTATTTTTAAATTACCGTGACCGACGTTCCTGTTACCAAAAAGTCACAATGAAATATCATTGTGACTTTGTCTCATTGATGAAGTTGAATAACTACTTAGAATATTAGAACGACCTATAACCTGACTTTATATTATGCATTTTAAATTTAATGTTAGGTTTTATTTCAGTAGTCGATTTTTTATTACCTTCCTTACCTAAGCTACGTGGCTATGTTATAAGTACCTTTCTAATAATTATTTCTGAAATATAAGAATTTCACCTAACTTAGACGATCAGTCAGTATACCGTAACAACATAGATATAAGTTAGATGAATAGGTAACTCATTTTTTTTAATAAAATGTATTGATGTGCAACATCCGAGACAGTAAAATCTGACAGAATGAATGGTATATATTATGCAAAAATACCAATATGAGTACAAAACTAAACATAAATCAAAATATTTATGATTGATCAGTCAGTAACAGATAACGGTAACAGCAATAATAACAATAACGATTGAAAAGAATAATTTTTTCAAGAGTTTTTTTTATTAAAAACAATAACTTATTACTGTGAATACTTTTTGTACTTCTTGGTTGAAGCTTCAAGAAAATAAATAAACTCAAATGAAAGCATACAAAAGAATGTTTTATTTTTATTTAGAAATTAATACGAAATTCTGGGTCATTATTGAAAAACTTTAAAATCCGTATATCTCAAGAACTGTTCATTTTCTGCCATACATATGGGGGATCTAATTTGTAGCATTTTGACTCCCCTATCATATCCCGCCAGGAAGTTGTCAAGTTCCCAGTAGCCCTGTATAACATGGTTTTTACTGGGGTGTAAATTAATTAGATTTTTGTGATTGATTAATAAACATTGTTTCATAAATTCATACCTATTTTTTATTGAGCTAAAACATACCTTATAATTATCGCTTACCTAATATTTACAAGTACTTATATAATCAAATTAATAACTTAAGTACAATAACATATAGGCTTCAATCTTGGCACATCACTATTCAACCACTCAGCTATGTGTCAGTATCTATAGAACATCTGGTTACGCTTGGCATAACGGGTATTGAGCGATACGCATGCTCTATACCTTGCTTATTTGTACCCTAAGTTCTGAACACTCTTATCTATTGTTCTAAGGGGTCCCTTCAAAATATTACTATACTCTTTGGCGGGTTCTATAACTTTGACAAGTAGATCGCCATACAGATTTCGGAACTTGGAAGGTTAACGCATGTTTAATTTTTTATTAGAAAATATTTATTTTATTTCAAAATTCACCTTTTTTGATTTTGACGTAAGAACAAAATTAACTATTTTAAAATACAATATCAAACTAGTAATGACCAAGTTTTAATTTATTGTGTTCAAAGTAATGTCAACCTGTGTTATATAACTAGGCTATACCTGCGACACGTCCACTTTTAATAAAAAGTAAAAAGCAGATTTTAAAACACTAAAGTCTAAAACACAATTTCCACACAACAGCTCCTGAAGTCAGGACTTTCATAGTGTGTCAACAATAACTTCAGCTTTTTACTTTTAATTTAAAGTCTTATTTTATATAATCATTACTTTGGTAGCAGACCATTAAAAGAATGGTAAATAGTACATTGTTTAATAGCAAAACAAACCAAATAATTTTTGCAGTAAAGAAATAAGATATTATTGTATATATTGTGTTTTATTTTACCACCTATCTAACAATCAAGTACTGCCGATTAACTACCAGTGCTTTATGTGATTTAAGTATTATATTTTCTCCAGTCACAACATTACATCATCCATCAACCCCATCTCATATATGCCATATCTGCCATACATAAAATGGGTATCTAAGTATAAAGTGTAATTTTTTTAAATAATACATAAATGCAAGAAATCTGCAACTGTGTTATTTTAAAGTAACTAATTATTTATATAAACATGCAAATATTTACAATAATACATAAACTTTTTTTTATAGGGTAAGGATGACAAGCGAACACACAGTCCACATGATGGTTAAGTGGTTGCTGTGGCCCATAGACATCTACATCTATCCTCGTTTGTGAATAAAATGCAGATGTATTATCAGTCATGAGGACTAAGATGGAATGACTCTTTTTCAGTAAAAAGGGTCTCCAGTTCTCTACACTCACCAAACAAAACACAGCAGCATTAAGCTGCTATTTTACATTGGTATCTGTAAGAGTGTGGTCCTTCCCCAGTCACACTGACCCATTTGTGCCACAACTGTACTATTATATATAGCTGTAGCATGGCTCTACCACATACTAAAAACTTAAATAATACTGTATGTAAACTTCACTGTATGTCCCAAGCTCATATATGGCATGACAAAATTGGTAAAACTACACTGTCAGTCTGCTAGTCACTGGCTTTGAATTTAAAAAAATATAATATACTAAATGACTAACCTTTGGGACAGGAACATCAAGGTATATAACCAAATGAGGTCTCATCAACTCTTCTATGGTGTTATTCCTTAGTTCATAATAAACAGAACGAACTCCCTTACTTATGTACTTTTGATGGAACATGGCCTCAAGAAAGACAAAGTCAGAATAAGGAGACCTCTCTAGCACCACACCCTGGCCAGTGTTAAGTAAATGGGCCAAAGCATCAATATACTGTTGGTACCGTGCTGTGTACATCATGATTTGGAAATTGCCTGCCAGGCGATGATTTGGGTTACGGTTAAAGTCAACATGATCAAAAGTTCTGGTATCCTCTGGAATTTGGGAATCGAACATGCGCAGGTCACAGCCATTGGGCCTGATGTAATGGATGTCCATATTGGCTTCTGGGTAATGTTTCATACCCAGGTCCGCAGCAAGACATTTCGCGAACTCCGTCTTCGATGCAGCTACGGGTCCTTCAACTATGATCACCTTGGTATTTTCATCAAACCTATGAGTAGTTCGATCAAAGAGGCTTCTTATCCAAGTATAGTCCTTATTGACATAATCAAAGGGTGCTGGTTTAGGAGGCGGCGGTGGCAGAGATTCACGGAGAGCCTTGCCCATTATACTCCTGTTCTGTATAAGGCCGCATACTGCTATTTTACCGCCTTGAGCAGGAGATAAAATTTTAACAAATGTCGTACGAATTAGGGTCGCCATTATAATCTAGCCCTACGAAATTAAAATATTATGTACTGTATTACATTAAAAGTTATTTACAAAAATAAGAATAGATTCATTAATATTTTAAAACTTGCCTTATTCAATCAATTCATAATAACAAAAATCTTCTAAAATTGTGACATAATCACCACCATTGCCAATTTTGCATTTGCAATCATAGATAAGAGCTAGCACTTCTAAGGCCGGCCTCATACATACGGAATTCCGATTCGGAATCCCGAACGCAGCTAGTCCATATAAAATCTATGACCCGCCACACACGTACGGTAGTTTTCCGTTCGATATTTTGCGGGCAAAACGGGATTCCGTTTGAGTGTGGCCGACCGTTCGAAATTCCGAAACGGAATCTCGAAACGGAATTCCGTATGTATATGGCGGGCCTAAGGCCGGCCCCATACATACGGAATTCCGTTTCGGGATTCCGTTTCGATATTCCGATTCGGAATCCCGAACGCAGTAAGTCCATATAAAATCTATGACCCGCCACACATGTACGTTATTTTTCCGTACGGAATTTCTCCGATTCGAGATTCCGTATGACCGCCTGTGCGTTCGGGATCCCGAACGGAAAAAAGCCGCTCCGAACGCACGTCTTCCATAGATTTTGTACGAGTCGCAACACACATATGTAAATTCCGTACGGAATGCGCTCAGTGTTCGTCGCACGACCGAAGCAAGTAGGTGTATTTATGTATGTTTTTACATTTAATCTTGTAGGTGTATAGCTTTTCGTAACCTTTCATCTAATTTTATTTAATAATTCGTCGAAAGAATTTACATACATAAATATTTAAAAAATATCCCTGGATAAATAGATCTTTTTACATAATATTGACTATATTGCAAGCTTAGTGTGATAAGAAGATGCACCTAGTAAGAATAACACAACAACAATGGAATCGCAGTATTTTAGCTTGTTACATATATATTTATCTATGGTGTATTTGCAATAGAGTAGACCACAGAGTTTTGGCGGGAAATTGACCGGCGGCGGTTTGCTGCTCCTGTATTATTGTTTAAATAATGGTTTGAAGTGGACTTTAATATGTAAAAGTGTTGCGATTTTGTGTATTAAGTGTCTACGCATGTGAACTATTAGTGGAAACAGTGAAACAAGTGCTCTGATGGTGATCGATTCTCAAGATAAGCTGTTTGTTTGCATAGGCACCTTTAGATACCATCGCCAACTATCAGCTGTCTGCTGGATCAAGTTGTCGCCAAAATCTCCCAAGAACTGCACAATGTGACGCATCAACATATTGTGAAGCAGTATACTATGAAGGAGTGGGGAAATTACAATAAACCGAATAAAAATACTTAAGACTTGGCCTAAAGGTCTAGATACCAGGCCATAAACTCCAAAAAAAAAAGAGTAGACCACAGAACATAAGACACAATTACTCTTTATGAGTCGTAGATAGAGAATAAGATACTATGTCTATGTTATGAGTAGAGTAGCATGAAGTTATAGATAAAGAGTAGACACTAGACTAGACAGTAGACCACTTTTTTTCTAACTGGCTTTACGGCTCTGGGTCCTAGCCCTTCTGAGCCTGAAGTTACAGTGTATAATTAATCTTTCATAGTTCACTGCTTCACAATATGTTGATGCGTAATATTGTGCAGCCATTGGGAGATTTTGACGGCAACTTGAGCCAGCAGACAGCTGACAGTTGGCGATGGTATCTCAAGGCGCCTAAGCAGACGGATACCTTATCTTGAGAATCACATCACCATCAAAGCACTTGTTTCACCGTTTCCGCTAAAAGTTCACCTGCGCAGACAATTAATACACAAAATCGCACCGCTTTTACACTTCAAATTTCACTTCAAATTATTATTTAATAAAACCATTATTTAATTGTATACGGGTGCAGCAATCCGCCGCCGGTTAAGTTCCCGCCAAAGAGGATACGTATATGTACTAGAGGGAGTAGACCCATTGATAAATAAATAATAAGTATAGACCAATTAAAGTTGGTAAAAAATTACCTCGCGTACATCCGCTCGATAAAATAAAAAGTCTACATTACCTGAAGATGCCTCGTGTAGAGGCTGTATGTTGGGATTAGTGGTGACGGGGATAGTGCACGCAATTGAGGAAGGGCAGGAGGTGCTTTTGAAACTAGGTAAGACACATAATTTTATTTTATGCGAGGTAATTTTTACCAACTTTAATATAATGGTTTTCTGCAAAGTAACGCATGATTATGTATAGGCCAAACCAAAGAGCAATAGCAGGTACAGTAATATAACATGAAAAGGAAACGACCAGTATAGGACAGTTATGATACTCTTTGGAAACGACAGTATAGTAAAATTGTTAAGTGTGATAGACTGCAAATTCAGAAAGTCATGAGTTCAGTTTCATAACATAAGTATTTCAAACTTACTTTAAGTGTTGAGAATATTAGTAATGTTAAAAGTAATAGCGTTAATAGTATTATTTTTTTATATCATTGTATCGGTATTGTTTACTCTGGCTTAGTGATGTTTAAATAAATAAATTCTTTATCAATATTAATTGATGAATTATCGTCTAAAACACTCTTTTACACTTCTGTTTAAAAAAAATATTTATTTTTAGCCAGTGCTTGACCATAACCCCACTTGATGATAATTTGTGATTAAGCTCCAGTAGGTATATTGCACTGTAGGTATTAGCGTAAAAACGCTTATTCACTCTTACTTTGAAGACGAAAGATTGTATTCTGACGGAAAGACAGATGCCAGCAAATTATTCCACTCCTTTGATGTACGCATTACAAAAGACGTAACATACCGTTTGGTTCTAATGAGTAGATTATCGAAAAAAAGGTGGGAAGACCCACCAGAACTGCCTGGGTGTCCGATGGTGGAAAGGAGAGGAAGAATTAAAGCATGTAATTGAAGATCTAAAATTCAAAACGTGATTTGTCATCAGTTTGTTATCAGATTGTTGGGAATCCAAAAAAAACTTTATATTAATAATTTAAAAAATTAATTATGACCTCTTTCTGGTAGTTCTTAGACATATTTCATTTTACAAATAAGTTTTAAATATTGTACCATACAAAATTAGATTGGTTTTTTTTAAACAATTTGGACAAATCGTGTTTGGAATGAATAGGTATGGAGAAATCACGTTTTGCTTTATGATTCTATAGAAAAAAGATAATTTTACTAAGATAAGTTTATTCTAAGTAACATATATTAAATTAAAAAATTATTTTTCTTTATAATATTCTTTATTAAAAAAAAATAGACAAATATGAATTGCAATTTCTTTTTCCAGGCAATCACAGAAAACTTGAGTAGGATCTTCCACCGTAGGAGTATCCAAAATTATATGTTTATACCATAGGACGCATTCCTCGTTCAATGATTGCTAATCACCGAACATACAAGTTAGCATTTTGTTCACGTCATTTTTCTTTTCTTGTGTGATCCCATGTCCAAGTGGGATTGCTTGGAGCGGATGTGATGTAATGTGGTCCCTTTTCACTTCTCGTTTCAACAAACTTATAAACTGTTCATTATCATCATTGATATTAAAATGCCTTGTTCCTTTTACATAAATTGTTTTTTGCTCTTATTAGACGAATTGTTATTTAAAAATATTATTTCACTTCACTGATCATAGGTAAATCTTTATAAAACTTGTTTAATGTTTGCGTGTCCAATATCTTGTAAAATCTGTAGTTAAGGATTTTGGAATACTGTTTGATGAAAAGCTTACGTTTCGCGATTATTGCGATCATGTGGTATCTAAAAGTACAGTCTTTCTTTTCTATTCAGAATTGTCATGACTTTTAAAATCCAGCGAATATTTTCATTTTGTACTGTTCTCTAGTACGCAGTATTTTAGAGTACAACATAATTATTTGGTTTCCATACTACGCTGTCCACATAGATCGTATTTAACGTGTTCAAAAGAAATTTCTATCAATCCTGTGCTATAAGTATGGTTTAAATTGAAGTCTACCCTCGTATGAAGAGAAATTTAAAAAGTTTAACATTATGTCACTACAAACCCGGTGCAAATATCAGGATATGACTTAACTTTACAAAATTATTCATTCCCTTATTAATTCTCCACCCTCCTTTCATTTGTCAAGATTAATACTAAGCCCCATCGTCGCTATACTTTCCTAAACACTTTCGTTTTGTAAGTTTATAGAAATAATACATCCTATTATAATCCTCTAGTAAGAATGTGTCGCCTATACAAGGACTTATTGATTAATAACAGTAAAAACATCGACATATTTAATAACAAAGTAAACAATTTCCAATAATCTGTATTAGATATATGAATGAATGAATGAATATACTTTTATTGTACACCACGAACAAATATACAAATGTCATAACAAAATCAGATTATAATATGTACAATTTGGCGGCCTTATCGCTACATAGCGATCTCTTCCAGGCAACCAAAGGTGTAAAGTAATACAAACAATGAATAGGTAGGTGGTAGGTGGTGCAATATAAATATACAAATAATAAAAGATAAGGTAACACATATAATATATACATATACATACATAAATATACACACAACACGTATATATCAATATATATATATACTGGGTGGCGCCCAGGTTATCACGTTAAATAGCACAACAGTTAATACAAGTTGATATATGTCTGTTAAAATAATAAAATAAACAATAATAAAAACTAATAAAAAATGCATCTTTCAAACAAAATAAATAGGGTAAAAAATCACATAAAATAAATCATCCTTGATAATATTACTTAACTGACCTGAAATGACTTGTAGAAGCGGCAACGTCGCAGCCAGCGGTTCATTGCTCATGCGACATCGATATAGGTAATTATATTATAATACCTAGGTCCTAGGACTTGCCCATACATAGGTAATTAGGCACGCGTAGGGCGATGCTAATCCGATGTTATCAACAAATCACAAATTTCATGGTATTTTTTATCCAAATAATCACTTTAACCTTGAAATCACTCAAGTTTAT